CTTATAGCAGAAACTAAAAGACAACCACAGAGAGAAACACACGAAGACATTAATGTACTTCTCTTAGTCAAAAGTAGATCAAATACTTAAAAAACCACACAGCTGGGCGGTAGTGGCTCACGCCTTTAATCCCAGCACTCGGGAGGCAGAGGCAAGTGGATCTCTGTGAGTTCGAGGCCAGCCTGGTCTACAAGAGCTAGTGCCAGGAAAAGCTTCAAAGCTACACAGAAAAACCCTGTCTCGAAAAATAAAAATAAAATAAAACACACACACACACACACATAATGCCTCATCCTAACTATATAGTCAGTAGTTAGATATTATGGCTCTCTATCATCTTCTTCAAGCTCACAAGGGCCATTCACGAGCACTGATAACATATTGGGCAGTGGAGAAAGCAAAGAAATAGCTGTTAATTTTCCAATTGCAAGGAAATAATATAGGAATTTAATATAAATATACAAAAAGGCTCTTCTGCCTGGAAGGATGCCCCAGAACAACTCCTGGATCAAGGAGGGAAACAAAGATAAAACCACTATGTATCAGGCTCTACAGCACACAATTAAAGCAGTTTAAAATTTCACATCCAAATCAGATTCGGATAAGTAAAATGGAGACAGCAAATTAATATCCCTTCAAAAAAAAAGCTAGAGGAAAACATAAATGATAAAAAAAATCAGAAAGCAGCCGGGCGGTGGTGGCGCACGACTTTAATCCCAGCACTCGGGAGGCAGAGGCAGGCGGATCTCTGTGAGTTCGAGACCAGCCTAGTCTATAAGAGCTAGTTCCAGGACAGGCTCCAAAGCCACAGAGAAACCCTGTCTCGAAAAACCAAAAAAAAAAAAAAAAAATCAGAAAGCAATAAAGGTAAAAGCAGAAATAAGGAAGACCGCTTACATGCTCATTTATCACCAAATCAAATGAACACATTATGAAGGTCTAACAGGGCATAGAGTTTCCTTTAACTAGGATGCTAATATGATCTGGTGACATGGGCACTCTTGGTTTACACCTATATTCCTGATATTTCAAAAAAGACAGTTTGGGGATGTCTTAGGGTTTCTTATGATAAGACAAGACGTCATAATCAAGAGCAACTTGGGAAGAACAAGTTTATTTTCATGCCTTCTTCCTTAGTTATGCTTTTACCTTTATTTCTTTCTGATTTCTTTATCATTTATTTTTCCCTCTGGCTTTTTTTTGCAGGGGTATTAATTTGCTGTCTCTGTTTTATCTATATGAATTTTGTTTGGCTTACATGTCCTGGATCACAGGTCACTGAAGGAAGCCAATACAAGAACCTGGAAGCAGAAACTGAAGCAGAAGCCATGGAAGAATGCTGCTTACTGGCTTGCCTTCTTATGGAACACAAGGCTGCCTCCATCCTGTGCGCTGAAACTACATGCAGACTTGTCTACAGACCAATCTACGCAGACATTTTCTCAGCTGAAGTTCATCTACCCAGCTAACTCTAGCTTTCATCAAGTTGACAAAAATAAAAACAAACAAACAAAACCAACCAGGACAGGGTAATATTATTTACAACACTCATGAATAATTCTCAGAAATAAGGAATATCTGAAAAAAAATCCAAAGTACAAAATTTTAGAATTACAGATTTAAATGGCAAGTATTATTTCTCTTTTATATAACATACAGTTATCTATATCTTAGCTTTTACATTTATAAGAAACATACACAAATACTCCCATACTTCTTACACTGTAACATCTGTCTCTGTAAGTAACCAAATCTACATTTACTGTCTTGGTTTTGAGACAGGCTGGCCTGAAGCTCAAGATCCTCCTGCTTCAGCCTTTTGATTGCTGAGATCACAGGCATGAGTGATTACAATAATGATTTTGTTGCTGTTATTGTTGTTGCTCTTTCTCTTTTTGTTTTCGAGACATTTCTCTACATATCCCTGGCTGTCCTAAGACTCACTACATTGACCAGGCTGAACTCCCTACATAGACCAGGCTGGCCTTGAACTCAGAGATCCACCTACATCTGCCTCCCTATTGCTGAGATCAAAGGTGAATACCTTGATGTCTAGCTGATTAATGACTTTTTAAAAAGGTGAATCTATATTTAAGTATTAGTTGTTAACTGAGAAAGATGTAAATGCTATCAAGGTTCTCACATGACCATGCTAAACATGGAAACACAATTTTCACTGGAATAAAAACAAGTGGAGAATATGGATATAGCCTAAGAAATATTTGAACTTTCACAAACAGATATTAAGTAAACTCATGCTTAGTTGCAGTAACCCAAAAGGATCCTTCACTAAATTTACACCAAATAGATAACTCTTTAATTAGCCCAAGACTGAGGAACACTGCAAAGGAACCATCAGGGGCTGGGAACATAGCTCAGTGGACGGATAAATACTTACCTAGCAAGTACAAAGCCTGGGGGTTGCACCCAGACAAACTGCAAACAAACAAACAAATGAATATAGCTCAGAAACATTCTCCTGCCATTCCTAAGTATGGATTTGGCCATCTACCTGTGTTCCCCTAGCAACAAATGAAGATAGCAAGCAGGTCTTTGCAATTGGAAAGTATCCTACTGTCAGTTTGGCCAGCTTCAGATCATTCTAGCAGTTTGTTGAGATTTAAACTAGAATCTGAAGTTAACCACAAATTTCCACAGCCCCTCTCTGGCAATGCAGTAACTAAAAATCTGACGTTTTCAGTGGTGATTTTATACCATGCTCTTCAGAAAAAGAGAGATTGGACTCCTCATCTAAAAAGACACATCACTCTTTAGCCAGGAATTAGAAAGAAAACCGAACAAACGTAAAACTGGTTGCAGACATGTCTGCATCCTTCCTCAACTATTTTCCTGCAGGGAAGCTGCAAGAGACTTTGCTGGGGGAAAGGAATGCACTGATGTTCCCTCCCCACCTCCAGCTTCCAGATAGAAAAAGCTTGTAGCTTACACACGTAGGAACCATCCAAAGGACCCACTCTTGGGAATATCCATGCGTATTTCCATCTAACGCAACAACAGACAGAATTACAGAACAATCCTGAGAATGCAGTATCACCGTAAAAGCACTGTGCAGCATACAGGAGATAAACTAGGCTTTAATCTGCAGTTGGGAGATGAACAGCCAGCGACGAGAAACATCTGCCATAAGCCAGATGCCTTTTTAAACGTCCCCCACATCCTCAAAACATCACCTGCCCATCCGTTAGATGGAACAGTGATACTTGGGTGAACCCAGACATGCGATTATGAATTCTCCGTTAGCCTGAGGGTATCACATGGAGGTAGATGGCACTACCATAAATGAAAGACAAAACCTAAGGGGGGCGGGCAGGGCAACATGGAGGGTGATGACAGATGCACGTAAAGTTACACCCATAGGATTCTAAACATCTAATACTGATACAAAATCTTAGTCTTCCCATTATAAGTCAAAGAGAAATAGGTCTGGTTTGGGGTTTCAAATACTACATACTTATAATCAATCTCACGAAGCTCTACATATTCTTCTTCCCCTAAGCTTTCCAGGACCAAATATGACTGGAAACCTCCCAGTCCCGGTCCTCATAGTACAAAGGACACTTAACCTGGCTAAAACTCTTAAGGTATTTTTATTTATTTATTAAAAGACCAGTGACCAAGTCTTTGGCTCCAAAATCCTGCAAAACTCAATCCATCTGCCCTCCGCTTCCTTGATGAGCGGAGCTGACAGCTTTGATGCATATGTGGATAATCATCTGACAACCATTTCTAACACCCATAAGCCTGAGTGTTTTAAAAATATATAAACTGATTACTACTCACGAGATACACTGTGGGTTATAGTAGAAGAAACTGAGGCCCAAAGACGCAAAGTTACCCTGATCCAGGTTCCAAAGCCATGATAATAACCTGACCTGCTGCTTCCACATGAGTAGGAAGTAGTAACTCTCGGCCAACTGCGTGTGAACGGCGGAAGATGAGTCTTCGTACACGGCCTGTCACTGACAGGGCAGCCACAGTCAAAAAGACCTTCCTTCAGTAATCAAGATTCCTCAAAATTTTTTAGTTGACTCAAGATCCGACCTAGTTTCCTCAAAACTTCGGGCCTCTTGACCAAAAGAAATGCCCGTAACTGGCTCAAGGAAACCCGATTTGAAACTCAGGGTGCATTAAATCACCTCCCATGGTGAGGCAGTCACCCTACCATTAAATTTCACACAGTGAATCTCGTGTGTTTTGTGATTCAGACAGGAATTAGTATTTGGCACTTACATTACATACAAAGAATGCTCCCTGTCCCCCTTAAAGGGGAAACAGATTATCCATAATTTACAGCTACAGTTCCAAGCCTTGTATTTCTTGAGAAATTTAGGACCTAGTAGTGATAAACGCCCATAGAGGTCTCCAAGGGTGGTCTCCTTTATCTTGGCAGAGCTCGGTACCAGGCACTGTATCAAAGTGACCCTAAGCATTTCCTGGAGATGGAAACATAACGGGGTTCCACTAAACCGTTACATAATAACGAATATTATAATGAGCAGTTAAATGAACGAAGTTGGAAAAAAACAAGTCAAAGCTCACTGGGTGTGTTTTTAGAACTAAGTGTCCAAATTGAATTTGTACAGAAATAAAAATTGTGTCTCAAAATGCGGTAGTTAAGTATGTACTACTAGTCCTTCCCGATAATTTAAATCTGCTCTTGGTAAAGATCTTTCACTTTCAAATGGAAAAAAAAAATGAGGTACACGCGTAATTTCGGCCGCTGTCATAAACAGCTGAATCATTCGCATAATCAACAGCCCCGAATTCTTCCACAAGCTCTCAGTTCAGGTTCTGCCCTTTGAAAGCTCGGAATGTAAAGCCTCCCCCTACTACTGTAAGAATTACACCAAATCACGGGATTCCCAAAAGATACTGACTTTAAACAGAGGCAACGTTATGGTCCATCAAACAGGAGGCCCGGGCTATGGATACAAATCACTCCAGCAAAGGAAAAACACACCACCCGAGGAAATGATTGCAAGGCCTGTGGGCCGAAGCCAGCAGGCAAGTGCCAGGATACAAGGGGCGCTGACCTCACGCTCCTGTGAGCCTCTCGCAGATGCCAGGCGCCAGGCTGAGTTCCAGGACTTTCCCGTCTGGCTACCCCAAGTGATATATGGCTCAGACTCGGGTAAATTAATCAATCCGGTCCCCTAGAAAGGTGGTGTTCCCGGAGGGGCAGTTCGGCGCTGACCCTGCCACCAATATTGGACCACACGAGAGGCGTCGGAGTACATAGAAGTCTCCAGGGGCTCTTATGGGGTTCTGGGTGCCTGGGGGTTGAGGGTTACGGGTTCTTCGGGCTGTATGTGGGGATGCCCAAGGCCTGAGGATTCCCGTGAGGAGATATGTGCAGACTAGGGCTCCCAAGGCATGGCCCAGGGGATGCAATGGCCCCTAGGGGCTGCAGGACCCGAGGCTGAGCATGAGCCACCTGGCTGTGTTCAGAAGGCCTCTGGGAACACAGAACCCTAAGCAGTAGTGCGGGGCACTCTGCGGTGGCAGCCGGCTGGGCGGGGGACCGGGCACCAAGACCCCTAAGGGCAAGAACTCTGGCGCTCACCCGAACAGTCCTCGGAGGAAGGAGTGGGAGGCCTTCACTCGTTTTTCGGCCTCCGCCATCAGCTGGACCGCTTCTCGCTCCTTCCCTGCGTTGTCCATGTCGCCCGCCGCTGCCAAAGCCTCCTCCGCCGACTAGCTCTGCTCCCGGGACGACTTAACCCTCCCTCTAGCAGGTGCCCGCACGCAGGCGCGGTGCGAGCGGCCTGTAGGGATCTGTAGTCCTAGACTCCACTATATGGCAGCTGTGTCAGAAGTCACAACTACAGTTCCCAGAAGGCCGTTGGGCAGGGCCGGGCTGTAGCCTGTCTTGCGGACCTTGAGTTCTCCGGACTCCTTCGGTGGAGGGAGAAGGGGCGTGGCCCTATGGGGGGGGGGGGTCTTCGGCCAAGGTGGACTTCAAGGGTTTTAGGAATGCTGAATTAGAAAATGAACGGTGGCTTCCAGGGGAGATAACCTAAAATTGCATCATCAGGAATTATTGACCATGACTGAGACGTGGCGATTGATAGACTGTTGAACATGACATTAAAAAAAAAAAAAAAGAAAAAAGAAAAAGAAAAAGAAAGAAAGAAAAGCCGCGGACGTTCAACCTACTGCAGGTACTGCAAAACGTAATCTAACGCAGCAGTTCAGCGCAGTTTCGTCAACCATGTGGTGCCTCTTCACCTCCCGACTCTCCCAGAAAAGGAGCAACAGCTGGCTAAAAGAGTTATTAATTTCTAAGAGCATGACGTTAAAAATGCACTATCTTCCCCAATATAAATTCAGAGTTGTTTTTAAGCGCCCCCAAATTGCAACTTTCTGTTGGTCCACTTGTTTAGAAACGAGTGGCATATCTTCTGCGTAGGCACAATCCACTCATTTTATATTGACCGAATTCTGTTAGATGGCTACAAGCCAGTGAACTCCTTTATCCTTTACATAATGCTGGCCACAGTGGGTGGATCCTGACAAAATTCCTGTCTGCCAGGAAGATTTTTAATCTACTGAACATCCATAGATAGTTGCAGTCCTGTGCCAATGTCTTCTAGGCTTGTCCCAGAGGGAGCTGTTTTTTAATACAATGTCTAGGCCATCGAGGCTTGGCAGTGCTAAGGCAGAGGTGGTGAGGCAAGTGCCAAATGGAAGTTTCTGAGGACTTAAAACTCTCCACGAATACACTGTGGGGACTGGCAAGCAAAACTTACCTAAAGAGATGAGTCCTGTCTTCAGAGAACAAAGCAAGACAGTTCAAACTCTTTGAAACAAGTGGCCAAAACTGATGTCACAACCTCGACAGGATGCTCTCAAGATAGAAGGGAATACCAGCTCTGGGGACAGAGTTTTACTTACGACTCCTGTAGGCATTCTTCTCATTTTGGAAAACTGATGTATGTTTGGAGCAGTTAATGGGAGTCAGGAAGGAGGAAGGAAATTGGAGGTGGCAGTAGATGTTGGGTTGAAGAGAGAAAAACGGTAGAGAGTGGATGGACATTGGCCTTTGAAGGGGAAGCAGTTGGGGGATTTGGCGGAGTGAGCCAGCTCACAAGCTCCATGTGTAGCATCAGTGTGTTGATCAGAGCAATTCCAAAGCTTGGCTCAGTGGAGCAGCTTTGCAGGACAGTCAAGAAACAGTGATCCCTCTGCCTCCAGTCTTTGTGTCCGGATCGCCACCCCATCCTATTCTAGGGCTCACCGTTCTAAATCCTGCCATATTACCTGAAAAGGAGCTTAGAATGGATTTCCCGAAAGCGCGCCTCAAGAACCAGATTTTTCACACATAGGCCTTTGGCGAATACTGATTCAAACTGTAGCACCTGTCTGTGGCTCTGGGTACATACTATTCAATGGACATTCAGGATGCATAGACGGTCAGGCTGAACCAATACAGAGGAGAACAGACTAGAAGATGAAAGACTCACCGTCCATATGAAATACTCCGTAGAGGCAGGACTGAAGCCCCTCGAAATCCCCTGCTCAAACAGAGCAGGGAGCAGAAAAGGACTTAGGTAAATAGAGGATGTGGCCATCTGCATCGCTAGAGTTCCAGGTAGAGTGGAGTCACCTTTTATAGCCAAGCCTCAGAAGTAACGAGTGGTTTGTCACTTTTCTACACTGAGACAAAGAGGTAAAGTTAGCTTGAGTGCAGGGCGGGGGATTGGGTGCTGTCTCTTGAGGGCAGGGGCTCAACCTTATTCACGTATTTGTTTGCTTGCTTTTAGTTTTTGAGACAGGGTCTCTCAGTGTAGTCCTGGCTGTCCTGGGACTTGGTATATAGGCCAGGCTGACCTTGATCACAGGATCAAAGAGATCCTCCTGCCTCTGCCTCCCGACTGCTAGGATTCAAGATATATACCATCATGCCAAGCCTGGAAGCTCAACTTTTTTCTTTCAGACAGTTTCAAACCACCACAGGTAGGCTAGAGAGGTAGGTTGTCGGTTGACAGCCTGGTCCATCCTGGTAATGCTGACCTTGTTGTGTGTCTGGAATCCCCAGATTGAGGAACAGCTTCAGCAGTTAAGAGCACTTGCTGCTCTTGCAGAGAACCTGGGTTCAATTCCCAATACATGCCAGCTGTAACTCCAGTTCTAGAGGGTCTGATGCCCTCTTCTGGCTTCTGCCTATATTGTGTACATGTGATGCAATCTAATACATAAAGGCAGAATATATAAACAGATAAAATAAAAATTAATCTTTTAAAAAAGATAATAACTTTATATGTTATATACTAAGATCTTCCTCTACCTTGCTTAAAATAGGACAAAGGAAGATTATGGTTCTGAACTGCAGACATACTGCTAAGTAAAAATGCTTTACTTTTCTTAAGTCCTTTGACTTGCTTTGGTACACAATTTAACATTACACTCTAAGTGTGTGTGTGTGTGTGTGTGTGTGTGTGTGTGTGTGATTTTGAAATGGGTGCTGCAGATCCAAACTCATCCCCACGCTTGTATCACAAGCTTCTGATTCACAGTGGCATCCCCCAGCCACTCTTTCACTTTTAACACATCCATTCCCTTCTAATCTTCATCCATAAAGCACATAGACGTCATCAAGGTGCAGGTTTGTAGTTTATGGTTTTTGTGCTTTTAAGGGCATCAGCTAAGAGAGAACATTTCCATGCAAAACACTCGGGAGATACGACTATAACTGTTAACTGCCGATAGTCGAGCACATTAGATTTACAGAACTCTTTCCCATGGAGGCCATAGTTGAGCTGTATGAAATTTGGCTCCTGTGGAAATATTCACATCTGTCCTGAAAATGAGGGAAATTGCTCTTTTCTGGAACATCCTGCCAGCAGTTGATTTAAGAGAAAGCTAGCGGCTCTTCCTGATGGGTTGGGAAGAGCCTAGTTTTCCCAGACTTGCTCTGCATTGGAGGAACTGGCTTTGGGGAGGCAGCCAATGCTTATTATTTCCAAGTGGGTAAACTCACGTACTCGTTAGCACTTGTGGTATCTTTGCAGCCACTGCGAGCACATCCGGAGGGGGAACGATGTGAATGCACTGACGTGTGAGTTCCTATGGTGGCCCTGGACTTCTGGGCCCAGCTGTCAGTAAGCGTCCCTTCCATAGCCTCTGTAGTGCCATAACTTTTCATTTTAGGGATTTTTATGTTGAAGGATTTTTTTGGATCTCCAACTTGCAGATGGCAAGTTGTTAACTTTCAACCTCCGTCACTACATGAGCCAATATTGCACAACAAATCTCTCCATATGTATATAGAACCATGCATAGACATATGTATCTATGTTCCTACTGGTTCTGTGTCTCCTAATTCTTATATTCTCTGCTATCCTTTCTCCAGGGCCTGCAGGAATTCCATCAATGAGGCTTGAATTTAGCCAACCGAGCATAAGGTAGAGGTCAAGGGTGAGTGATAATACAGTATTTGTTTCCCATTTGTTCTACAAAGTGGCCACTTGACCCTCCCTGACTCTTTCTGGGTTGTTCCATTCTCCTCGTTGTTCTTGCTTAGGAGTGCTGGCATGGGTACTGCTACCTGAAAAAGGCTTCCCTGTTTCCTGTGTCCCCTGGTTCCTTTGCATTTTCACCATTGTATAGACATTTTGTTTAGATCAACTTTCTTGAATTCTCTCTCTCTCCCTCTCGCTCTCTCTCTCTTTCTCTCTCCCTCTTCCTCTCCCTCTCCCTCTCCCTCCCTCTCTCTCCCTCCCTCCCTTCCTTCTTTTCTTCTCAAGACAGGGTTTGTCTGTATAGCCCTGGCTATCCTGGAACTCGCTCTGTAGATCAGGCTGACTTTGAACTCAGAGATCTCCCTGTCTCTGCCTCCTGAGCGTTGAGATTAAAGGTGTGTACCCCCACCTGGCTTTCTTGAATTTTCCTTATTGCTACCATGCCCCTGTTTACTGCAGAAATTCCGAATGAAATGTTTCCAACTCATTGCATAAGGCCAGTATGATCCTGAACCCCAAACCAGATGAGAACAGCATGGGAAAGGAGAACCACAGGGCAATCACATTCACGACTATAATAAATATAGAGCACGAACCAAGCATTAGCACACACACCATGCACACAGTCCAGATTGCTGACATAAATGGAAATACTGAAGTTTAAAATGTTTGGGAAAGCATGGGGGGAAAGTAGCATTATTAAAATGTTTAAGTAGCTTTCTGACCTTGACTTTCTAACAAAGACATCAAAAACGCAAACCAGGAGAGAGAAAATCAATACCATCACTCCATTAAGGTTAAGAATTTCTCTCCTCCAATATGCCAAAAATAAAATGAAAAGGTAAACCACAATCCAGAAAAGGATATTTGTAATATGTGTACCTAAATCAAAGTAAAGAAAAGAATTATCAAGGATAAAGAATTTTTCCAAATCAATGGCACAAACATCCAAATAGACAAAGGGGGAGAGGCCTTGAACTTTCAGATTTAGAGAATTTCAACTCCTGCTTGGTCTTCAGTTATTCTTGTTGGCAAGCTTGTCAGCTTCTCATAGAAAAGCAGGATGGCAGAACACAGAAGCAGGCCCCAGAAGTCCTTGCTTTTCATTTTCTTTCAGAGTAGACCTGTTGGGAATTACTGTGGACTCCACAACACATCTCTGTAAGCTGCACTCACCCTCTACATGATTACAGAGCCTTAGAATTTATTTTTTCTACTGTATTTTAAAAAAAGTTTTTTTTGTTTGTTTTTTGTTTTTTGAGACAAGGTCTTGGTGTGGAGCTAGGCTTTAACTCCCAATTTTGCCTCAGCCTTCTGAATACTGGGATTACAGACATGTGTCACCACACCTGGTAAGAGTTTTACTTAATCATTATTATTTTAATTGCACACATTTAATACATATAGTGTGTATTACACATAAATAACATGTAACCATCAACTCAGGTTGATTAATTGTCCATGTCCTCATCATTGTGTGAAACTGTGTGAAATTTCCCAGAGTTTTTTTTTCCAATATGTCAAGTAGGCTATTGTAACCCACTGTGCTATAGATTTACTGTTTGTAACTCCTGGTGTTTTGGTGTTTGCTATTCAACTTCCCACTTTCCCACTGTTACTATTATACATTCAACTTATTGTGTGTGTGTGTGTGTGTGTGTGTGTGTGTGTGTGTGTGGTAGAGGTGTCTACACTTCTGTATGGGTTGTGTTTGCCTGTGCGTGCACGTGTGCAAGCCAGAGTTCAGCTCATCTTCCTCTACCATTCTTCATCTTAGCCTTGTAAACAAAGTCTTTCATAGAACCTGGAGATTGCTGTTTTACTAACACTGACAGGGTGGAGTCCCTGGGATCTGCCGCTCTCCTCCACCCCACACACATTAGAATTACATGTGTGCGCCATCACCTCCAACTTTCCTTGGGTAATGGGGATCCAGCTCAGGTTCTGTTGCTTGTAACCATTCAGCCATCTTTCCAGCCCCAGGATTTTTAATTAAAAAAAAAAAAAACATGCATAGAGAAGACCACAAGGTATTTGCTCCTTTATGTTGGTTTATTTTAGCTAATGTGATGTCTTCTAGTAGTTTTGATGCAGGTGGTAGGATATGATTTTATTAATATTTCTTGTTATTATTATTAATTATGTGCAGGTGTGTGTATCCTCACTGCTGTGATGTTCTGTCCAAGCTCACAGGGTCAGGTAACCATGGATTTAACCCTCTGAAATTGTGAAACCAAGCTAATGCTTCAGTATCTTTATGTTGTTTATGTCTAGTTCCCACAGCAAAGTCTCATTAACCCATCAGTTCTTCCCCTGATGGGCACCTGTGCTGATTCTGCACACCTGAGCTGGATCCAGCAGAAAATGCTTACAGCTTGTGAACTTGGACTTGTCCCGATATACTGATTTCACTTTCTTTGGTTCCACCCAGAGATGGGATAGCAGGATCATGGGCTAGATTTACTTTTCTGAACCTTCCATGCCGTTCTCCACAATGGCTCGACATTCCAAGGGAATAACAAGTTTCCGTTTCTTCACCTGCACTCCATTAGTCATTTGTTTTGTTTACCTCTATTTTGGTTCCTGTTATCAAATTTTCTCTACTGCCCTTTCCGTCACTGCTTCCCAGCCCCATTGCGGCCTCAGTTCTACTGTGTTATACTGAGTTTAGCATTTGGGTGAGATCATGCAGTCTTTGTGTCCTCCTTATGCCAGAGTTATTTAACTTAATACAGTTTCTTCTGAAGATTTTATTTTTTATTTCATTTCATATATTTATTTCACTTTGTTTTTTGAGACAGGGATTCTCTGTGTGGTCCTAGCTGTCCTGGAACTTGCTCTGTAGACCAGACTGATCTCTAACTTAGAGAGTTGCCTTCCTCTACTGCCAGAGTACTGATTAAAAATGTGCACCACTACACCTGATTGAAATTTTTATTTTTTTATTTTTATTGCTTTTTTTAAATTTATGGGAGGTCAGAGGACAATTTTGGTGAATTAGTTCTTCCATCACGTGGGTCCTAGGACTCGAACTCAGATCTTCAGTTTGGCAGTAGGTGCCTTTATCTGCTGAGGTGGCTCGGCTGCTCTGCTCTCTGGGGTTTTGTTTATTTGTTTTGTTTTGATTTTTCAAGAAAGGGTTTCTCTGTGTACTAGCTCTGACTGTCACAGAACTCAGTTTTTAGTCGAGGCTGGCCTTGAACTCACAGAGATTTGCCTGCTTCTGCCTCCCCGAGTGATGGGATTAAAGGCAAGCACCACCACTACCTAGCCTGCTTTCTGAGTTTTGATGCAAGGTGTTCTTTGTGTTTTTTTTTGGGGGGGGGGCAATTAGAATTGATCCCAGAGCCTCACACAAGCTAGACAATGGTTGTATTACTGGACTATGCCCTCAGCCCTGCTTTCTTAATCTTAAATATTTCCATCACAGAGAAATGAAACTTGAGGTTGTTTAAAATGTTAATCTTGAATCAAAGGGCAACGTCAGAGACTAGCTGACTGATATTAGCCATTGAGAAGCCAGGATATGGATAGAGGAGACTCACAAGAAGGAATAGGGAGGGCTGGAGGGATGGCTCAGAGGTTAAGAGCATTGCCTGCTCTTCCAAAGGTCCTGAGTTCAATTCCCAGCAACCACATGGTGGCTCACAACCATCTGTAATGGTGTCTGGTGCCCTCTTCTGGCCTGCAGGCATACACACAGACAGAATATTGTATACATAACAAATAAATAAATATTTAAAAAAAAAAGAAAAAAAAAGAAGGAATAGGGAGGGACTTGGAGATTTTAGGTTCTCTTTAATCTGGGAAGTATGGAGAGAAGGTCAACCAGTCCCCATTCAGCCACATCTTTGATCTGTCAGGTTTTCACCCTGATATTGACTCCCGAGACTTTATTGATAATAGCATAGCTTAGATAAAGACATCATTTAGTTGAGTTGACAACCAAGAACAGCCATCACAGAGGTAAGTGGCACTTACTCTGATTTTGTCAGGATAAATTATATACACATATCAAAATATCATGTGAGAACCCAAACATATAATTACATCAATTAAAATTTTTAAAAATAAAAAGGAAAAGGAGGAAACCTATTGTTTCTTTAGATGGAGAAGCCTGCTTAGGAGTTGACAAATTATTTTTAACCTGGAAAACATCTGAATTTTAAAAACTACTTAAGTTTGGCTGAGGAGGACAGGCTGCCACCAGCTCCTCCTCCCTGATATTCTTAGCCAGCTCTTCCCTCTCAGGGAAGCACTGTGTAACTGTGAGAGTGCTCTTCCTTGGCCTTGTTACTTCTCAGATTTTTTTGTCTAGATGAGAAAATGTTCTTTGGGTCAATGCCAACTTGAGCCATCTGTAGCACCACCACCTTGTCCCCCTGACATTCTGTGTGCAGGCTGCAGAACTGCTTCTTAGGAGCTGAGTGCATTCTCGGCCAAGGTCAACCACAGTCGTCTGTGGTGTCTGTGGTAGCTCCAGAGGTGAGGGTCCAGGGATGCTTTGGGAACTGCTGCTGAGTGCATGGGCAGTGCTGCCCCACAATCAAGCCTGGGGTACTTGAGCAGGTGGCAGACTTTTGACTGTTTGTTTCAGTCATCTTGGAAGGGAGCCTGGCAACCGGTTGGGTCTTAAATAGATTTGCTTCCTGTCTGTGTTATATCCAGGTCAGTATCCTGCCCAGAGCAGGACTATTTAGGGGACAGAAATGTATTTTTTTTAATAAAAAAAAAAGTTCAGAAAAGAAACCAAATGATACTGGCCCTCTTGTTTGTAAGGAGTTATTTTATCTATTTGCCCTGTGGGAAAAGAAAATCAAGACATTGGAAATGTGTGTAGGCTCTTTAAAAGAGTGGCACAATTGGGACTGTTCTCCAGGTTCTGACACTGTATCAGTGAAAAACAGATGCCCCTTGGCATCCATGGGGATTGCTTTCAGTGGCTCCTGCAGAAACTAAAAATTTGTGGATGTCCCAGCCTTCCTACAAAACAGCATAGTGTTTGCACAAGACCTGCACATGCCCCTTTATACTTTTCATTGCCCTTCCTCTCTTAAAATACCTAATAAAACACAAATCTCGATAAAAATATTCTTTAGTCTCTATTTTTCAGGGACATGATTGGTCCAGACCGAGTTGCTCTTTAGGAGTTGTCTACTCATACTTGAGTGAATTCAGAGACACAGAACTCACGGGTGACAGATGGCCACTGCTCTGCTAGTGTTAAGTCCTGGGCGTTCCCGGAAACAGTAAGGAGCCCTGAAGCAGTTCCACCTTTACATTCCCCAGTGCAGGCTTCCTTTTCTTATTGAAACAGTGGACACAACTGACGTCAATATGAGCCCTGATGTCCCTTAAGCTACAAAGGCAAAGTATCTGTGCAATTTGTAATTTAAATTTCCTAAGCATCTACAGTACTTGAGATGTGAAATGTAACCTAGCAAAAGCTCTTACGTTAAAGGCTTTGTTGCCATCTGATAAGCTTTGAGGGCTGCAACCTCAGTGGATTATTCCATGGACGGACTAAGAATTAGATGGCATGGTTGGGAGGTAATGAAAAACCATGAGGTGAAGTTTAATTTGAGGAAGTATATTAGGGAGAGAGGATGCCCTAGAAGAGGCTTATTTTATTTTTGCCTGTGTTCTGGTAGCCACAAGGTATCTAGTCATAGTAATGAAAAGCCAGAACATCATCCTATGAGATACTTACTTTGCTGATTGTGTGCTAGAATTACAGTTAAGAAAAGTGAAGCTAAGAAGATGAAGCAACCGGCCAAGCAGCAATGGAAAGGATTGTTTTTTCCTCAGTTGCATGCCCTTCTCGGCAGCTCTCCTGCACCTTCCAGAGTCCCCTAACTGAGACCAGGACTCACAAGCCTTCATGTGCAGGTAGGGCTGTCTGGTCAGGATATGGTCTATGCTGTTGCCTAGACTGGAAAAAGCCCAGCATTCTTGGCCTTTGCTAACTGATCTCATCCTGGAGCAAGGGCACTCCACTTCAGGATTCACGGGAGAGGTGGAACACCATGAGCAAAGCCTTTGGACCAGGATGATGAGCGGTTTAGTGTAGGCCCAAGAAACCTCAGCCAAGGCCAGGCAGAAGCCTGAATAGTTTATTTGTGTGGGGGGCCTACAATGTAAGGGCAGGCAGCAGTGACAAGGAGGGAAGAATGGGAGAAGGGGGCTGGAGAGATGGCTCAGAGGTTAAGAGCATTGCCTGCTCTTCCAAAGGTTCTGAGTTCAATTCCCAGCAACCACATGATGGCTCACAACCATCTGTAATGAGGTCTGGTGCCCTCTTCTGGCCTGCAGTCATACACACAGACAGAATATTGTATACATAATAAATAAATAAATAAATATATATATATATATATATATATATAAAAAGAATGGGAGAAGGGGTAAGTAAAAGCTGCAGGAAACACCCTTGCCTGCAGACTGCTCAGCCCAGGTGGCAGAGCCTATCAGCTGTGGCGATAAAACACATTATTTTTCTATCTCTTTCTTGCTCGTTTTCTTGTGGGAACTGGACTGACAAATCTCAAGCCTAGATGCTTGAGGAATATGAGGAAGTAGCACAAGCAATGCAAGTTCTCTGGAGCAAAATATAGGCTTCTATAATGAGCTTCTACATACAGGTCGCCCCGGGCAAGGCTAATTTCTGAGTAAGGCTCTTGGCTGATTTCAGTGGGGAGCTTGGGGTTACCTCACAAAGCTCTGCTGGGTCACAAGAGGATGACAAGTGGTAACACATGGACCTGCCAGCACAGTGGGAAACAGATGGGGGAACTCTGCTGCAGTGAGAGGCAGGTGAGAGAACGTGACGGAGGGAGCGTGGGAGATGCTGGTGGCTTGGTAAGATGCTTGGAGTGTCTCACTCCAGGTCCCATGCGGTTGAATCCCACGTCTCAGTCCAAATAAGACTTTCTCCATAAACGCTCACCCACTCCCACACACACAGTACCCTTAGGCCACTAGAGCAGCTTTTATTGCAGAGCCCCGAACAGGTCTGTTCTTGGGATTTCTTTCGCACTGCATGTGAGGGCAGGCAAGGATAGGGACTCTCCTGACTTGACAGCGTGCAGAGATATAACCCCTTCCCTCGACTGCTAAAGAACAGAATGGCCATGACAAGTGGGAGGAGCACGGCTGGGGAGTCGGGTGTGTGGTCCTGGCGAAGCTTTCCATGGGTAGGGTTCTTAGCACCATGGAAGAGTGGACTTGGGGTCATAATCTTTGCTTAAGTGCAGGTGAAGCTGTCTCCCAGGAAAGCCTGTCCGGTGAGACGGCCGCAGAAGAGCGCGGGGACGGTTGCTGCACTCCTACCCTGGCATCAGTATAGACACGTAGCTGCGAAAGCTACAGAGATGGAGGCCAGAGGCCTGAGGATGCCCTTGCTGCTCTTGCTGGTGGCCGTAGTTGTTATGGCCAAGGTGAATCACGTCCAAAGGTGGGGAGGCTTCAAGGAGAAGGCCTCAAGCAAGAAAAACATGAACTCCACGCTCCATTTCTTCATCCAGTCCTACAACAATGCGAGCAACGACACCTACTTGTTTCGAGTTCAGAAGCTAATCCAAAGTCAGATGCAGGTTTGTGCCTTGGTTTCCCAGACAGCAACACAACCCCCAGCTTGCCTTTTCAGACATATGGGGATTCTGACTGGGCTCTTTGGATAATCGTACTGATAACTCTCTGGGGGCGTGTCATATGTGATGGGAACACGACGCTTCTGGGCTAAGTAGTTCCCTCTGTCACCACAGTCACATGACCTAGGTAGGCCCAAGGTTCAGAGCCAACCTAACTCACTTCGTCTTGGCCAGAAACTGAGCTGTAGAGGTTCTCCATTGTTCTACGGAGGGGATTGCATTTCATCCCAGACTGCAGGGATGGGGCTGGTTTTGCTTTCTTTTAACAGCTCTGTCTGGACAAGCCCTAAACACTCTCTGTAACTTTCTTCTGACAGCATTTCTTCTCAGTGTCCAGCACTGTCAAATCGGGCTGGATTCTCTGCTTGAGACATTTGTAATCACAAGTCTTTGGGGACAGCTGAGGGGAAGTAGCAGGGAACGAGCAAGGAGCTTCAGTCAGATAGTTCCACCACTTTTGAGGCAGAGTCTCTGTAGTTAGCCCTGGCTGGCCTGTATCTCTCTGCCCTCAGCCTCCTGCCTTAGGCTCCTGAATGTGAGTACTAGGATTACTGCGTGTCACCGTCGTTACTTCTCTTTTGTTGTTGTGCACACAGTTTTACATATGTGGTCCTTGTGAATTGTATCAGGTGAAAGATGATAGAAGAAAAAATTGTTAGAAAACTTATTGGTCCACCGTTCCCTTAAGGTCAGATAGCAAAATATGTAAATCCAGTTAGAAATGATACTGCATCCTAGTTAGATTTGGGGGGAAATGATTCCCTAGGAGGAAAAATTAGTAGTCAGAGAGAATGCAAGGCAGATGGAACAGGAGTCAATAGAAAGAGGGGAAGGCATGGGAGTGGGGCGGGCCATATTAGTGTTAAACCCTGTTCCTAAATCCTGGCCTCTCACAACAGTCCAGGGTCTAATATGCACTGGCTATTATGCACTATGACCACCAGGTGGCGCTGTCCTCACTTGTCTTTTTCAATTGAATCCGTTTCCTTTAGTCTTTAGCTGAGACACTAAGATTTAATGTGTGAAACCAACCTTTTACTATTAGCAATTAACTGGTCAAGAATGTCTTTTAAAAATGTTATGAGCAAACTCGATGTTACTTAAAGCGATAAGTGGACAGCGTGGGCTTGTGGATTGGAAGGGGAGGATCATGGACACAGGTTTCTGGACATCTTAATATCCAGATGTGACTTTGAAAGTCTCGGTACCGCAAAGAGAGGATAGTAGACAAGCACGGTGGGCTGCTGGGCCTGCTTTCGACTTTCAGTCGCTCCCAGCTGTGGGATCTTGGTTAGGTGTTACCTAGAGTCCTTCGGGATTGCCTCTTCACCTGCAAACTGGGTCAGAACAAGTTTAGCTCAATGCTGCCACCTAGCAGCACTTGTCGCAATAGCTGCTGTCGTGACTTCCTATTCTAAGTGAACGGCAGAGACTACCTGGGAGTAAGAAGTTTAATGTGCACAAATGTTTTCGTTTTCTTTTTCCTACATACAACTTGCTGACAGCCGGTCGGTGCGGCAAGGGCTGTCTCGGTTCTACACCATCCCCGTGCATAAGTAGAATGGCCCCCTTGGTGACAGCAGAGGAGCAGCTGCCCTCTAGGGAATTTGGGCTAGTCCTGAGATTGTATTCTCCGTGCAGCCATGGGCAATTGCCCTGCGCCTGGCCTTAGATTTTATATGGGAATCTTTCAACCAGGACCAAGGTGAATTTTCTGTCTGCACCTCCACTGGAGAAACTCACACTGTCTCATTAGGCTGAACCACTGGCATTTGGGCAAGAAGCAGGAGGGCTCACTCTCTACTACACACACAGCTGTCTAGTCATACTTGGAGCCAGACCTGTGACTATAAAGAAGCTGAGTTTTGGTGGATGAGTTCCGGGACAAGGGGTCACGCTTAGCCCCTCCCTCTTGGAGAGGATCAGACACAGGATGCTCAAGAGTGGAAATGAGCAATGCAATTGCTTCTCCACAGCTGAGCACAGGAGTGGAGTATTTAGTCACAGTCAAGATTGGCAGGACCAAATGCAAGAAAAGCGAGGCAAGCAATGTTTCCTGTCCTCTGCAAAGCAGCAAGCTGAAAAAGGTGTGTTGTGGGGATCCTCTGAGAAAGCCTCAAGGCCAAGGATGGGGAGTGAACATCCTCAAAGTGTGAGAGTCAGAGTCAGCAAATTCCCAGCCTTAAGGCTACCTGACACTTCTTGGTGCATCTCAAGAAGGAAGAAGGCTTGTTGGCTTGGGTAGTCTGGCCACCCAAGTAGACACTGCCCTGGATCTAGGCTTCTGCTTCTCCCCATGGAGCCCCAGGGCACAAGTGATGTTTGTTTCTCCTCAGGGCCTTTGATATTATCTTGCTCCCATTCTCTGGGTCACTGAAGACTGTTCCCATCTCTTCTGTGTCTTCTCAGTTCTCTTGTCCCTCTCTATGTTGCCTGGCCCCTCATCAGACAGGTGGAAGATATGAGTGTCTCTTTCTGTCCCAGGGTGTAGGTGCAGGGGTGGGAGATGAGGGAAGGTTGGTACCCCTTCCTGGAATCCTAGGTTCTGCTTAGACTGAGGGCTCCAGAGGCCCCTGCCAGGGTCTCAGGGGAGCAGTTCCTTTCTGGGTTCCCCAGGGCCCGAGGAGATGCAGCCTTCTCTTTCATCTTTGAAAACCATTTTCCTCAAAACTTCTTCTTTCTTCTCCCACAGAGCCTGATTTGCACGTCACTGATATACACCGTGCCCTGGGTGAACTACTACCAGCTCTGGAACAATTCCTGCCAGGATAGCAAAGTGCCCATATAAAGAGCCCTGATGACACCGAGATGCCTGTGTTGTGTACTGGTTTTTATATAACTCGAAGAGGACTCATGTACCTCTCTGTGGTGTGTACACACACACACACACAGAGACACACACACACACACTCACTCTCTTTCACAACACTGACACTCAAGAGCATGCATAGTAGCAGCACCTTTACTGACACATATATTTCCCATTCACACGCAATATCCGTCTCTGAGTTTTTATTATTTATGCTGCATCTGCCATGTCTGAAGTCACAGGCAGCAACTGCCCAGCAAGAGTCCTGAGGACTGAACTCAGGTCCTCTGCAAGAGTCTGTGTGCTTTTTTTTTAATTTTTATTTATTTATTATGTATACAATATTCTGTCTGTGTGTATGCCCGCATGCCAGAAGAGGGCACCAGTCCTCATTACAGATGGTTGTGAGCCACCATGTGATTGCTGGGAATTGAACTCAGGACCTTTGGAAGAGCAAGCAATGCTCTTAACCACTGAGCCATCTCTCCAGCCCGAGTCTGTGTGCTTTTAACTTTTGAAACATCTCTTCTGCTCACTGCTTTGAATTTTTTTTTTTTAAATCAATTTTCTTTTTCCCACTCCACCTCCCTTGCTTTTTAAATCTACAAACAAAAATGATCAGGTAAGCAAGAAGCAGGAAGGATAGGTGAATGCAAGTTCTGATTCATTAGGACTCTCGGATGGAATGGTTCTGTATATCCCCACTATAGTACTTACAGTAATCTATATGAGTAACAAAATCATACATGCACACACGCGCACACACACACACACACACACACACTACTGATCCCCACTGGGTGTTCTGTTTTCCTTAATCATGGAAATTTTGCCATCAGAGAAAACCAGGGGAAAGACACAGGGCACTCCTCTTTGCAACCTTTATAACTTCTTGTAAAAATATGATTTTTTCCAAAATACATTTCAGCCAAACATTGAAAAATCTAAGAGACTAATGGGCGCAAATGTTGCATCTCTGTTTTTCTCTCAAAGGGCAATCACTGTCTGGGGAATGAAATAGTGCAAATGTGCCAATAGTGTGTGTGTGATTCCCAGTGAATTACCGCCGTGGCTTTCGCTGAGTTCCTGCTCTAGGCTACATGTGTTTTGATGCCTGCCTGCATCACAAGCTTCGCTTTCAGATTCTGTAACAACTCCAAGAAGATGTCCTGTTTTCCTTGGCTGAAGAAGAGAAGTTGTAAATTAGTGTGCTCCCAGGTATTTGGAAGGAGGAATCCCATCTGGTCCCCCCCCCAAATTTTCTAGAGTTTTGATGGGGTGAGAGGAAGCCTAAAACGTCATATCTAACCTTGACTTGGGGAGCCTTGACAAGACTTTGTTCATACAAAATCACACTTCACATTTGTAGGTCTGCTGCTTGTGTTCTGCAGACTTACCCTTTGGAGTATGCCAGCCCATTTCCCCATGTGCACGCTGTAGCTTGCTCTGACGTAGAGCTCAGAGGCGCCATGAAAATCACAGTGCTTGGAGCCACCCTTGGCAAATCTTAACTGGATATATATCTCAACTCTATCAACTGCCTCACCTTTGTGGTGTGTGGGTGTGTGCATATATTCTAAACTTTACAACGGCAGAGGGTCTACTAATGGTATTAAACCTTAGGCTTTTGTTGAATTCCTTTGTCAGTTTTAATTTTTTTTTTTAATTTGTGTCTGTGAATCTCTGTGCTAACTTTGCATGCCAAAGCCCATGGAGGCTAGGAGAGGGTGTCAGGCTCCCTGGAGATGAAGGTTGTGATGGCTGCAAGCCAGGAATTGAACTCTGGTCCTCTGGAAGAGCAACAAGTTCTCTGAACTACCAAGTCATTTCTCCAATCTTTTTACTGGAGTCTTGTCATGAGATCTCTCTCTTCCTATCTGATGTGAATGAGCACACGTGAAGTACTAATAGTTCTCCTGAGATTATAAGGGAAGAGTTGTGTGGAAGTAGCCTGGGGACACTGAGGTCCCGAGCTGAAGTTTTGGAATGTCCCCACTGTTAATGTACTACCATGGAAGGTGCTCCCAAACTCCTGTGGAAGACATAAATTTACATCACAAAGAAGAGATGGGACCCACTGGGACTTGTAGGAGGTTACTGGGTCTCTGTCCACTTAAGTGGATACACTCACTGGTCTAATAAGTGCATCAATGTATTAGTGACTTATTGAACCATCTTTTCAGGTATGAAAGCCAGTTTAGATAGGTCTCTGCCACTCCCTGCCTCACTCACCCTGTGATGTTCTGATACCTCCAGTCTCTGCCAAAAAGAAGGCGACCGCTAGATGGTGATCTTTAACCGTAGACCAGAACTATGAGCCCAACTAGTTTCCTTTATAATTTACCAGTTTATTTGATAACCTACAGGGTCCAGTTCTGTTTCTGTTGTCATACACTCATGGATGCGATGACAATCTTTGGAATGTGGTGATCCCACCAAGGGTGGCACTCTTCAGGAGAACAGGAAGTTGAGCAGGTTTGGGGTGGACCTGGGTGGAGTTAGGGGGAGGAATGAGAGGTGAATGTGAGCAAAATAATTGGAGGCATGTATATAATTCCCAGTTGTGGTGGTGTGTGCCAGTAGGATTTGCTGATGGAGGTGAAGGTAGAGGATCAAAAGTTCGAGGCCAGCCTGGGCTACACCTTTAGCCTGGTCGGTGGCGTTGCACACCCTTAATCCCAGCACTTGGGAAACAGAGGCAGAAGAATCTCTATTAGTTTGAGGGCAGCCTGTTCTATACAGCAAGGTCCAGGACAGGTTCCAAAGCTACACAGAGAAACCCTGTCTCAAAACAAAACAAAACAAAACAAAACAAAACAAAACAAAACAAAACAAAAAGAAAATCCCATAGGATTAATGAAAATATATTTAAAAACTACACTTAAATCCTATGTAAATGGAAAAGACCTTGGTCAGAGTAGACATCCTGGGATTACAATGATACTGTTTTGTGCTTGTTTGTTTTTGTCATTTCTAATAAGGAGTGAGCAAATTGAAGTAGAAACTCTAACAACTCTTCAGATGTCCCCCTTTCAGAATGCAGTGGCTAACAACGGTAACTTCACCTCTTGATTCCTTCTGCAAATGATGCAACTTTCTGCCTTTTATTGTCTAACTTGCTAAATAAGGAGCCTAATATATATTTTAAGTGATCCCTATAATGTTAGATTAAATTTTATATTAATCGTTTAGCATTTTTAAATTACTTATGTATAATGAGCATAGGAAAAATTGTATCCAGTGTCATGATTAATTCCACAATTTTATTCATTGATTTCAATGTAAGATATTTTATTTTATTATGTGTGTGTGTGTGTGTGTGTGTGTGTGTGTGTGTGTGTGCAGGTACCCCCTGAAGATCTTGGGTATCTCATGGGCTGGAATTACAGGTGGTTGTGTGCTGCCTGACATGGACTCTGAGAACAGATTTAGGTCCTCTGCAAGAAAGAATGCACCCTTAACCTCTGAGCTCTTTCTTCAACTCCAGCGTGAGATATTTTGAACAATACAAACACATTTTGGCAAGTTATTTAAAACCTGACCCTGAGTGATGTAATGTATGCATTCATGTTTTTTTGTTTATTTGTTTTTCAGAATACTGGTGAACATCTTCCAACTTAATCTAAAATTGAAGGAATTTTGCAAAGAGCAGCTATATACTCACCACCTACACTATGCAATTTATACATTTGTCTTGGTATTATGCATCTCTGTCCTCATTCTTATATTTACCCACAGTCTCATTTTTCATATGTACTTCAAACTTAGTTGAAGACATTGTATACTTCACTTCTAAACAAGTCTGATTGTAGATTAAAGAAATATCATAATTTGTGTTTTTTCCCTTTTGAGCTAAATTTCTTTTCTTTCTCTCTTTTCTTTTTAAAATATAATCATTTTTATTTTACATACCGACCCAGTTTCCCCTCCCTCTTCCCCTGCTACTCCCCTGCCTTCTCACCATCCTGTCTCCCACCTACTCCTCAGAGAGTTAACACAGTTGAGGCAGGACCAAGGCCCTCCCCTGTGTCTAGGCTGAGCAAGGTATCCCTCCATAGGGAATGGACACCCAAAAGACAGTTCATGAACTAGGGATAGATCCTGATCCCACTGCTAGCGGCCCCACAAATTGCCCAAGCCACACAACTGTCACCCACATTCAGAGGGCCTAGTCTGGTCCTATGCAGATTCCCCAACTGTCAGTCCAGAGACAGTGAACTCCCACTAACTCAGGTCAGCTGTTCCTCTGGGTTTCCCTATCGTAGTCTTGACCCCTTTTCTCATATTACTGCTCCTCATCCTCTTCAACTTGTTCTTAATGTACAATTAGACTATTATTAAAAATAATTTACCTCATTTGTACTATCATGTTATCATCGGTAGGAAACAGAACAAGACAGAGAGCGCAGCTCCTGTGACATAGTGATTCTGGCTTTTCCCTGACTGCACTCCTTTCTCTTCTAGTGGATCTTATCTCTTTGGTTGATATGGGTTGATATGGGGGGCATTATGGACTATGCCCTCTTTCCCACAGGGCAACTATTTTCCTTTCTCTCATAGATAAGACCTCCAGAATCCAATGCATTATTCTCTGATCCTGGCTGCAGGGAATGTGGGGGGAGCCTAGCTCTGAGTTTAGTGTTTCCTTACAGAAACAGAGGTCATCTCTCAACTCTGGACTAGGAGTAAGGTCCTTGTCTTTCTTAGTTTGTGTTTTTCTTCCTTGTTTCATACTTTAGGCGAGGGGAGGGGAGCTATTTGTCAGGCTCCTGAGTTGCTTCCATAGTGGGAGTCACCTGTTACTATCTCTGCTGTTGAGTTACCCACTGTAAACATCTCTCCATCTCCTTATTGTCCGTCTCCCGATCTCTCCGTGTAGTCTTAAAACTTAGAGTATTTGGTCTGGGGTGTTGCTCAGTATGTAGAATGTTTGTTTAACCTACCTGAAGTTTTGTGTTTGACACCCCCCCCCCCCGTGCACTGCATAAAGCTGCGTGTGGTGGTACATGCCTGTTATCCCAGCACTTGGGAGGTGGAGGAGGGAAGATCACAAGTTCAAAGTCATCCTGGCTACATGGTGAGTTCAAGGTGACTACACAGTGAGTTCTAGGTCAGCCTGAAACTACCTGAGACCTGATCTCAAAAACAAAACAAAACAAACAAAAAAGTCCTAAGGTCCCCTACTTGCCATGAAACTAGGGACCAAGTTCTGCTATCATGTGGCTGTAAGCCATAGGTTCACAAACTATCTGTGTTCCCTACTGGAACCCCTAGTGGCCCTCCACCGTTTGTTATTACAGCTGAGGAATTTATGGGGAATCACAACATGAAGAGCTTGATGAGAACAGGCTACCATCTTTATTGTGTGAGCGGAGGGTTACTGTTGATTGCAGGGTGACCCCAAAGCTTGGTGGACACAGCTTGTGCTCCAAGACACTCAGGCACTGGTGCAGTTTTTTCTGAGAATTTTGTATCTTTCAAGCCAGGGCATGGTATACACCGAGAAGTAGCACCGGATTTGCTAAAACAAAAGACCAAAACACGTATTTTAAAAGATGAACAAGAGCTGGGCACGGCGGTACTCTGCAATGCAGTAATTGGGAATCTGAGGTGGGATGTGCCCAGTGAGCCCAAGTGGAGTACGTAGTCAGAGTCTCTATAAGAAACACGATAAAGGGGCTCAAATGCACGGTGAGAAGGAAGAGACTATCAGACAAGCGGCCGGGGACATGACACTGCCTTGTTACCCCTCACCCCAGTCCTGATATTTATGTGATTTCATTCATGTGACAAAAGCATTGTTGTGATCATTCTGGAGTACGTCCTGTTTGTGGTCAGGTTTGGAGTAGAAATAGAAGGCCCCACCTGTACTCCCTGTGGGAATTCCTGGTTCTATTTTCTCATCATTTTCGCTCAGATGGTATTTACCATTATCTTCTCTCCCTGGGCTTCTATTGGATCCACACCCCCCCTTCTTCTCTCCCTTCTTCCCTTCTTTTTTTATAGTTTTCTTCCTCCCCCTGCCTCCTCCATTCTTTCCCTTTCTTCTTTCCTTTTGTCTATCTACCTATCCACTCGCCCATTCACAATCTGTGCTTCTAGCTCCATCCATCCACACATTTATCCTTCTATTCTCCCACCTATTCTTCCTCCTGTCTACCTATCTCTCCCTTCACTTATTCAGAGCACTGAATTTTATGTCCTAATATAAAGAGGGAGCCTAGAAAAGGACGCATTTGTGTGTTGAGAGCCTCCACGTCATTATTACCAGGTTTACCATATATAGCTTATGAATGGAACAAGAACATGTTGTAAGCAAAAGGCTATTAATGATTACCTTAAAAATTTAGACATCAACCAGGATGATGCCATCCTTGCTCAAATTCCTTTGAGGAAAGTTAAGAGATGGTTATAGCGTTGTTAGGACTCACAGCCTAAAGGTGTGTGTTGGACACACCCTGACTGTGCACACAGAAGTGGAGATGATATAGTGCAGCATCTGGGCGGATGCTGGATCAGAATGAAGTCTGCAGGGGACTGAGGTGCCTTTGGGGCTTAAGGTCACTCAGCAGGTTACCCGCACAGGCTTGTTTTCCTTAGTCTACCCGTGTGCCAGTCAAATTATTTTCAAATTCATTTTCTACTTCCTGCTAAAATAGGTTAATAATTAATTGCTTCCCTTGGCCTGGGGTGTCCTTCTGTAGTCCAGTCTCCCTCTTCCTTCTTGTGATTTTTTTTTTTTAGCGCCAACAAGCAATGGTTCAGCTTTTTCTGCCTCTAGTTCCCTCTTTGAAAGAGGAGATACTACCCATGAGATTTTTTTTTTCCCACGCAATCTTGGGTGAATCCCAAATAAGTCTGCCCTCACTTATGCTAAAACCAAGAAAAACCCATGGAAAATCGCTTTGTGAGAACGAGCTTGTCTGGCACCTTGTAAAGTTCCCCTTCTTGGACATCACAGGTACTCTTCTCTGTCTTGAAGCAGGTGGTCCTTCGCATTTCCACTGTGATGTGTAACTCCATGTGGTCTGTTACCTGTGGGTTGTGAGGGGAAAAGAAATGGAGAATGACCCCTTCTCCCCACGGTGGCTTCATGCCCAGTGCTCAATACACCATGTTCAATGGCAAGGGACCAGCCTTGCACAGTTGTGGGATCCTTGCTCTTCTTCCTGCCTAACTCCAGGCCTCTTTTAATCACTCACTGAAACTTCAAGCACCACGACTACTAGAAAACTTGGAGAAGCCACCAAGATTACCAGAAATAATCTTTCTCTATGGGTTCAGCCATCCCTTGGACATCGTCGAAAGGGCTAATAGTTCCAGGCAGGACTGTGTGCACCTTTTCTGTGAGTGGCCAGATAATAACCAGGTTCATCTCTGTAGGCCACCTGTCCTGTATTGTAAGTTTTCAGACTGACTATGGCATCTTGGTGGTCCCAGATGGGCATAGCACAGACGGCTCTAATAGCACTACTTTAAGAGGCACACAACTGGGGCACTTGGGCCTGGCTGTGTAATTTGTTGGTTAGCATCAAAAGGACAGATTCGTTCGTTCTAGCTTATGTGCATTTCCCCTAAAACAGCCACTTCCAGTCGGGAATGGTAGCTTACACTTGCAATTATAGTACTGGGGAGGCTGGAGCAGGAAGGCTGCAAGGTTGAGGCTAACCTAGTCTGTACAGTAAGAGTCTACCAAAACAAGCACCTGGGATTTTCCTGGGTCCCGCTGTGGAGGAGAGACAGGGAAGCCATACACACTCACCTGAGACTCAATATCCAGGATGCGGATGATCCTGAAGTTGTACAAGTCATCACTTTTCTTGTTGTATTCCTCCGTGACATACTTCAGTGTGCTCTGTGCAGAAGAATCCAGCGCACTCATTTTGAAGACGCTTATATATGTCTTCCTCTTTTGTTGGCAGCTGAAGGCCACCAGGGCCACCAGAATGGCCACCAGGAGCTGTGGCGCCTTCCAAGGTCTGGCCATCATCCTTCAGCTGGAGAAGATTGGGAAGAGCTGCCCCCTTCGTCTGTTAGGTCATGCTGACCACGGCTTTCCTGAGTTGGACTTAAGGGAAGCATGCAGCGACACCCACGGGCCTCCTTTCTTTCTCCTCCCATCTGCCTACTCTAGGGACACTTTGCAATGACTGGCAAGCACACTCCTATTCTCATTCTTTTTGCATAGTTTCTCTCTCTCTCTCTCTCTCTCTCTCTCTCTCTCTCTCTCTCTCTCATACAAACACACACACACACACTCACACTTTTACTTTTTGCTGGCTTCTCAAGCAACACACACTTCTGGGGACTGTTACTCCCTCAGTGGAAGCTAAGCCAGAGGCCTCTTTCCACTGAGCTTAAATCACGAGGGGCCACAGAACACTTCAGGGAAAGGCAATGGAGGAGACATGAAGGGTACTGGATCTCAGGAAATTTAATATCACCGGCAGGATGATGGGAGGGAGAAGCTTAGGAGGAGGGGCTGGGTTTTGAGGAAGCCCTGCCTGTCCTTGACCTGGCTCTTGAACAGTAGCTCCAGGCTGTACATCAAAAGAGCAGGAAACTAGGAGGAGAGAGAGAGAAGCAGGGACCCGGAGAGCCTCACTTTGGAAAGCTAGTGACACTGGAGTGTGGCTGACTCCATGTTTTAGAGAGGTGGCTAGGGAGTTGAAGGAGGGGATGCCAAGACTTTCCTGCCTCCAAAGTCGGGTTTCAGCAAGATAAGACCCCACAGGAGCTCCAGTTTGGTATCAGACGGCAAGGTCAAAGGCACAGAGACTGGCAGGACGCAGCCATCTGTGTGATGCCAGCTCACGAGATGTTTGAGTAAGCCTGTAAGGCAGTGGTTCTCAACCTGTGGGTTGTGATCCCCTTGGCAAACCTCTCTCCAAAAATACTTACATTCCCATTTGTATCAGTAGCAAAACTACAGTTATAAGGTAGCAACAAAAATAATTTTGTGGTTAGGGGTCACCACAACGTTATGAACTGTATTAAAAAGTCGCAGCATTAGGAAGGTTGAGAACCACTGCTGTAGGGTGTTGTTTAGAAGGATACAATCCCAGGACAGGTAGTGAAAGCTCCTAGGGCAGAGGTGTGAGTGCACATACCTGCTCTCACACTGACATGTACATACATGCAAATGTATGTACCCACACTCACATTGATAGATGCATCTTCATACAGACACATGCATTTCCATTCCTACCATAAGTGCATATTCCCATAGACCATTGTGTAGCTATTTCCTCTGAATTGGAGCATCCTCTTCTTAATGGGGAAGGTTCATTGAGACTAAGGAAGTAGCAAAAATCTTTGAAGTCTGAAAAAGTTCTCGAAGTACCTCCCTCTCGAAGTTATATAAGCAAAAACTTCTGGGGAGAAGAGCCTCCCCAGCCTAGCAGTCTGCAAGTTGTTCAAGCAGCTCAAGGAGTTTCATGAGTCATTGCTTATGCTGGAGTGGGATTTTTCAGGGATAGAGTTCCCTTTAAGTCATCCAAGCTTCCATAAGTAGCCCATACTCCTGAACATTGAAACATGATTAATAAAAACTCAGAGACAGATATTGGGATTCAACCTGAAGATCAGAAAAGCAAAGCAGCCAGTCACTGACTCTTACCTCGACCACAGTCTGAAAATGGTGATACTGCTTCCAGGAAACCTCAGAATGAGATTGTGTCTGAGAGTTGTCTCCTGTCCCAAATGGCTCCTTACTCATCTCCTTGATCTTCATGACCTTAATAGCACTGAAGAGTGTTCTGATACTTTAGAATTTCCCCAAACTTGTGTTTTTCTGGTTTGCAGATGGGGATGCCATCAATGTATAAGAGTTATGCTGAGACGGACCAATCCAGCCTCTCAGCTCTGCATGCATTGGTCTCAAAGAGCACATACTTCTACACTTGCTGGAGGTTAGGCCCACGTTCTGCTTTCCAGTGTTCTTCATTGTCCTTCAATCTGAGTCCTCAGCAGGCCTGGCAAAGGGAATCTGCTCGGTTTGACAGCTACATGCTGCTATCTTTATTTTATAACCTAAAGAGATTTTCAAATTTTATTTATTTAGTTTACATCCCAACTTCAGTTTTCCCTCCCTCAACTCCTCCCATTCCCTCCACCCACCATTTCTTCTCCACCTCTCCCTCAAACTACTTCTCTTCTGTTTCTGTTCCAAAAGGGGCAGGCCTCCCATGGGTATCAACAAAGCATGGCATATCAAGTTGCAATAAGTCTAAGCATTTCCCCATGTATTTAGACTGGGCAATGCAAACCGGTATGAGAAATAGGTTCCAAGAGTTGGACAAAGCATCAGAGACAGCCCCTGCTCTCATCGGGAGTCACACAAACAGACCAAGCCACACAATTGTCACATATATGGAGAGGGTTTAGGTCTGCCCCATGTAGGCTCCCTGGTTGTTGCTTCAGACTCAGTGAGTTACTATGAGTCAGGTTAGTTGGTTCTGTGGCTTTTCTTCTCATGACCTTGACCCCTATGGCTCTTACAATCCCTCCTCTCTCTCTTCAACAGCATTTGCTCTTCTCTGCCTAATGTCTGACTGTGGGTCCCACATCTCTTTTCATCAGTTACTGGATGAAGGCTCTGAGGACAATTAGGATGGTCACATCTCTGATCACAAGAGATGGCCAGTTTAGGCTACATATTCACTATTACTGGGAGTCTTAGCTGGGGTCATTCTTATAGATTTGTGGAAATTTCCCTTGCATCAGGTTTCTGCCTGATCCTCCGAAGTCCCCCTCATTCTAGAGATCTTTCAGTACTCTCTCTCTCTCTCTCTCTCCACCCACTCCCCAACCCAGTCCCTCTAATGTCCATTCCCATCCACCCCAGTCCACCCAGCAAGATCTCTTCTATTTCCTCTTCCCAGGGAGATCCGTGACAAGACTCCAGTAAAAGGTGGAATTCAATCCTGTGTAGCCCGGGGTGGCCTTGAACTCTAAGAGCTTCGTCTGCCTCTGTCACCCCAAGTCCTGGGATTAAGGGTGTGTACTACTACTCCCTGGCCTCTAGTGGCTAGCTCTGCACTCTGATCTTCAGACAAGTTTTATTTGTTAAAACATTAACAAAATATTACTACATCAACCTAAAAGCAGCCTCACCTGGTGCCTATGTTTTCAAATGGCCACTTGCCCTTTCAGCAAAGTTCCCCAGTCTGAACTGGTGATCCTGCCTCCTGGACTCCCAGAATGAGACTGTGTGAGAACTGTCTCCTCCCATCTTACATTCCTCGCCAGGGCTGTGATTAAAGGTGTGCCCCACTACCGTCCACTTTCTATAGCCAACTCGTGTGACTACTGGGATTAAAGGTGTGTGTCACCACTGCCTGGTCTGTAAGGATGACCAGTAGGACTGTTTTACTCTCTGATCTTCAGGAAAGCTTTATTTATTAAAATACAAACGAAATATCCACTACAGAATCCAGTAAGCCAAGACTTACAATGTACAGACTTAACACTCTACATATGAATTATGCTCTTCTAAAGTGCAGGAACTAGTGGTCATATTCTCAACAATAACAATAAAAATCAATCTCAATACATTTCAAAAAAAAAAAGGTAAGACAGATGTTCTCTGCCTGTGGTTGGCTTGAGTTAGAAGTTGGTAAATGAGAGCTGATTTGAAATCAGCGGTGATTAGAATGAAACAGTTCCGTAATTACAGCCCAGAGGTCAGGAAAGACGTCAGAAGATGAGAGCAGGTTAAAAGTGAAGGGAACTGATAATGAGCCCAGAAAACAAGGAGAATGGAGCCAGATGTAGCTGCTGGCCAAAGAGGACGGGGACAGTAGGAAGGTGGCAGCTCATGGGCACCCCCAAACAATTGGCCTTGAACTCGGCAGGTGGTGTGTATTGCAGGCAAGGTCATGGGCAGGCTTGGCAACAGCTGATTCCACTTCCCAGGAATGAGTTCGTCAGACTTCTCAGGAGTTTCCTCCCGGCCCTGGGAATCCTCTCCAGCCTCGTGTAATGACAAATGGGCCTGCAGCACAAGTGGGACCTGCCCTGGCAAGGCTCAGGGACAGTCTGGAGATGTGTATACGGAGGGGATGTCTGCGGATGCTTGTCACTTCAGGGTTGGTGCCAACACGGGGTGGGGTACGTGTCTTTCTGCACTACCGTCTGTTGGGATAGTGAGAAGGAACAAGAAGGCAGAAGAGTGGAGATAAGGGCTTAGACAGAAACACAAAAGGAGGCATTCAGGAGCACAGGGCTCTGATGGGCAGGGCTATGTGGGATCCTGAGCTGTGAAGGGCGTTACCAACTGTGGTTGTTCCATCCCTTTTCCCGTGTGTCCCCAGTCCCTAGGCTGATGCAGAGGACAGCTATGGTGTGGAAGGTGCCCTTGCTTGTAGGACTGATTGTGCTAGGCACTCATTTATGGACCATTGACAAAGAATTCGTAGACATTACTAAGGATCTAGACTATTTTGTGGCATCAGTGGAGTTTGCTGTGGCTCAGTTCAATGACAACCACCCAGAAGAGAACACATACAGGTTGCTGGAAGTTGGGAGAGCCCAGAAAAAGGTGAGTCCACATACAAAGCTTTACCCCTTCATGTACAGACCCCATTTCTTCATCTGATTTAATCAGATTTCTTAGTCTGGCCCATGCTGCTCAAGGGAATGTTTGAGAGTCGTCAGATTGTCATGCATGGCTGCAGTGTATGCAGGTTGCTTGTTGTTTAGGATTTGATTGTGACCTGTGAATGTGCCATACCCTGTATGTGTCCATGCTCCTGTAGAGTGCCAGAGTTTGAGTTTAGCAGGAAGTAGCAGGAAGTACTGAAAGAAGGCACATTTCTCTTGACATACAATGACGGCATGTACCATATAGATGCCTATTTATAAGCACATGCATATCCAGGCAATGCCCATTTTCCACTTGGTTATCTTCTTGTTTTTGTATTTATGTTATAAAAATAACACTTGCATAATTTCTTTTCAACAGACATGGACAATGATTTTCTTATTGGTTTTGGAGATGGGTTGCACAATTTGTAAGAAACATGATAAAAACACGGACAATTGCCCATTGCTACAAGGCTCAGGAGAAAAAAAGGTTAGATAATAAAACCATCAGCAGCTACAACTGATCTTTTGGGAATGAAAAGATAATGAAGTAAAGCCTGAGACTGGATGGAGGGAAGGTGTGGGCAAACATCACAGGGCTCCCTCACTGGAAGCAGAAGGGGCTATCGTCTCCCCTTATTTGCTTATTTGTTACTTTATTTTTATCTTGAAAAATTTTGTATTAATTCTTTGAGAATTTTCTACAGTGTATTTGGATCATGTTCTCTCCCCAGTTCTCCCCTAACTTCTCAGATCTACCTTTATTTCCAACTTCATGTCCTGTTTTTATTAACCAATCAATTCCGTTTGTGCTATCCATCTATTCCTGAATGTGGGGTGATCCACTGGAATGTGGTTGACCTACTAGAAATAACACAGAAGGGGTCGTCTTAGGCAGACAGAGCCTGACTCCCACGCCCAAGGCAGCCCTTTGTTGCAGATGCCCCACCTGGGTTCCTTGTGGTCTAGAGACCATCTGGATTTGAGAAAACAAATTCCTCCAGCAGTCATCATCCCTCCTTTGCTCATGTCTTGGGGTTAGGGACTATTTAATTTATCTGCTTACTCGGACTTCCTGATAGATTCTGGGTGATTCTGAATGACATCATTGTCCCATATGACATGTAATCCATGGGATCTGGCATCTTGAGGATGACTTTCCACTGGGGGACTGTGTTAGTGTTTGGTTTTACCTTCTTACTAATGGCCTTGGAGCAGCATCATTTTTGAGTGGTTTGTGCTGCTGCTCAGCTGGGAAGCGCCCTGATAGGATTGTCTTTCAAGCCATCCCTTGGTTCCTTCAGGATCCTTGGGTTGGATGGAGAAGTTCATCCATCATCATAAGTTGCAGGGTGGAAGGTGGGTGGTGAGTTGTGAGGAGAGGATGCTTCAGGATAAAGACCCAAGGCAGGTGCCTTTTCAGGACCCCCTTGTCTTAGGTGGGGGGGGATTTTGTGACTTGTGTCCATTGTCCTAGTGGAGATTTGAGCTTTATTGTCTCCACTTCCATAAAATGGCTGTTTCAGCTTTATTACTGCATGCTGTACATTATCTCAATGCATTTTAATGTTCTAACTTACTTATTATGATTATCTTTTCAGGTCCACTGTGTTTTCCAAGTAGATGCCCGACCTTGGTTTTCCCAATTCTCCATCCTGAATAGTACCTGTGTGCCAACATAAGGGGCATGGGGGCTCTGGCTACACATAGTATTCTCCCTTCCTTGGGAGTGTGACTATCTGTAGCCCAAGGTCTGTGTAGTGCTAATGCAATTAAAAACATCTCATAGCATCTTTTGAATCCCTGAGCAATGCTTAGGCTCTTCCGTACTGTCTATTTGTCATGGATACCAATTTTTAATAATAAGCAATTGTTTGTGTGTGTGTGTGTGTGTGTGTGTGTAGCCCTGACTGTCTCAGAACTAGCTTTGTAGACCACTCTAACCTTGAACTCACAGAGATTCACCTGTTTCTGCCTCCTGAGCGCTGGAATTAAATGCGTGTGTCACCACCACCTGGCTGCAACTGTCTTATTTTATCGCCCTGCCTTAGGTATGGATGGCTGAGTAAATTAGACTCCTCAGTTCATGTGAAGCAGGAAGCTGAATGGGAGGATCTTGGAAGCTCACAAGCTAGAGACTGGCCTAGGCACCGCAGTGATGTTACAACCGACAAAGCTAAAGAAGGAACAGGAAAAGAACTACAAACTCTCTTCCAGGGCACAGTCGTCTGTCTCCCCACTACTTCTGTGTCAGGAACCAGGCATACAGACAGCAGTGTCCACTCTGCAGTGGGACCAGGCCCAGGCTCAGGGGTCGTAGGAAGGAGCAAATGACAGGATAGGTGGCCTTGGCCTTCTGACTACCACAGACTGACTAGCAATAGACACACGATTCTAATTCGAGAGTTTCAGGTACCTCTCTCAGTAACTGACAGTTCCACAGAGTAAAAATCACTAAAGACAAATAAAATGTGAAAATTTATCAAAACAGATTTGATTTTGTGCTACACAGGGCATCATCCAAGTTCAGAACATGCCCTCTTTGAACCTGTGGATAATTTACCCAAACTGAGCATATTCTGGTCCATAATCTACATCTTCATGAACTTTGGAGAATGGGTGTCATATGGATTGTGTTCTCTGAATTTATCTAGAAATCAAGAAGGGAAACACTAGAAAGTTTAGCTATAAATCTCTAAGGCTAAACAGGCTAGTGGAGTTAATCCGGGGAGGACAGGATGTTTTAAAAAAAACCACAGGGTTAAAACATTCTTACTTTTTTTAAAAAAAAGATTTTATTTTTTATTATTTTAATTACATATATGTGTCTGTGTGTATGTCTATGTGTTTGTGCACATGTGTGTCTGTATGTGGGTATATGCATATGCGTACAAGTGCCTGAAAGAGCTACCTGATGTAGGTGCTGAGAACCAAATTCCAGTCCTCTGGAAGAGCAGTAAATACTCTCATCACTGATCCATCTCTCCAGTCCCCATTCCTATTTCTTTAAAAAATTATACTTGGCATGTATGGTGTTGTGTTGGGGCGGGGAGAAGCAAGGGGTTCAGGCGTGCTTTGAAGTACTACGGTGGGAAGGATATCTGCATTTTTAGACACCCTTACCATCACCACCTGTCTTGTTTTTTTTTTGTTTGTTTGTTTGTTTTGTTTTGTTTTGTTTTTCTTTTTTCTTTTTTCTTTTTTTCCTTTTTGGTCAACTTGACACAAGCTAGAAGAACCTCAGTTGAGAAAATGTTTCCATCAGATGGCCTGAAGGCAAGCCATCTGTAGGGCATTTTATCGATCAATGATTGGCATGGGAAGGCCCAGCCGACTGTGGGTGGTGCCATCCCTGTGAAGTGGTCCTGAGTTGTATTTAAAAAAAAGGCTAAGAAAGCCATGAGGAGCAAGTCAGTACGCAGCATTCACTGTGGCATCTGAGTCAGTTCCTGCCTCCAGGTTCCTGCCTTGGGTTCTTTCCCTGACTTCCCTGGATGACGGATAACAAGCTATAAGATGAAATAAACCCTTTCCTCCTCATACTGATTTTTTTGTCATGCTGCCTTATTACAGCAATAGAAACCTAACTAAGACGGTGTCCATCGTTAGACCATCTTGTGAGATCATTTCCTCCCACCTGGACGCTGCAGGAAGGTATTTCCAATCATGTCCACAGCCCTGTCCCTTTCTATGCCAGAGTTATAGTTCTGCTCCTACTCTGTCCCCAAGGTAATGGTTAGGTTCTGGGACAACTTTTTGGAATCATGAAGGTTCAAGTATCCTGTTATCCCATGGCAGGGAAGACCATTTGAGCATAAGTCCTTTCCCATGATGGCAACATTTATGCCTTTCCAGTTTACTCATCCCCTGACTTGTTGCCGTCTCTGCAGTTTCTCCAGAAGGAAGGCAGAATGTGGAGTATTTTTCCTGAGAAGTCTGGCACAGGGCCAAGTGGCAGAGCTGGGTGCGGATATATTAATAGGTGCCTCTTTCTGAGTCCAGTCAGCTTCAAGGCCCATGGCTGCCTTTTTTTGTTCATCCCTACAGATCCACTGCCTCCCTTTCTGATTCTCCCTAGTACATGGGTTGCAGGTCTCAGGGAAGGAGGCAGAGGTAATGAACTGGCCGCTATACTGCAGAGATGGTAGAGAAGATGATCTCCCAGTCCTGACTCTGAGCCCTCCCACTGGGCTCCTCTGAGAGGCCAAAGTAATTCTTAACTCCCAATAATTGAAACCTCTTTTACCTCATGAGAGTTTCTGTGGCTCCACCAGTTCTTGAATTTAGAGCAGTAACAGTAAGCCAGTTGGATTTACAAGCCCAAACTTCCTATCAATTCTTATCAGAGTGGGCCGAGGTTGGGGAAGGCCGTCTTGGGAATGTGAAGGCAAAGGGTTGCACGAATGCCCATAAGCCTGTGGCTTATGTCCCCAAGGTGTAGAAAATATGACCTCCTCTTCAACCTTCTGCTTTCAGATGGAGGGAGGGACAAGGTGGAGGAGTAGAGATGGCAATAGTCAGCTGCCCTAGTCAAAATAAAGACTTTAGCACCTGGGGGCCTCTGGTGGGCGGGGCTGTGTGGACTGGCATCACCATCTGCAGCTGCGCCACCTCTCTACCAATGCGTGCATCCTCAGCTCCCAGTACGGACACGGAAGACAGCCATGTTGTGGAAGGCCTTCCTGCTTGTGGGGCTTATTGTGATGGGGATTCGTGACTGCAGCTTCAGATTTGTAGAAATCAACAAGAACAATGAGGATTTTAGCATTTCTGTGGAGTATGTGGTGTTTCACTTCAATGAAAATCAGGATGATAATTTTGCCTACAAGTTCCTGAGAGTCCGGAGAAGTCAGAGTCAGGTGAGTAGCCTGCTTCCTGTGTGGTGCTTGCATTCATACCCGGCAGGGCTGGGGGCTGTTTGGGTTTGCAGTAAGTCGAAACCAAGGCTTTCATTTGGTAAATGTTATTAAAAAAAAAATACCCAAGAGTGCTAGAAAAACTCAGAATTTTGGGCTTATTTTAAAGTGAGTGCAACCTCTGAAAAGTGAGGTAGAAGGGCAGCATCAATGTCCCAATCTGAGTTCAGGATGAGGGGAATAGAATCAGGGCCGAGGGAAGCCAGAACAGCAGAGACAGGTGGTGAGAATGGCAGGCACAGAGACGAGAAGAAACAGATCCCCACACAGTGGCAGTCAGCAGCAAGTGTGACAGGGTGACAGGCACCCTTGGGGAGCTGGATGAACTGGGCCTTGCTCAGCAAGGTGGGGATGTAGGCTGGGTACCTGGTAACATCAACATACATCACTGCCGAGATGACATCCAGGCCGTCAGCTGAGGAACCAGACAGGGAACCATTTTTTCAGACTGCTATGCTGGGCGAAGACATAAGCTGGCCCAAACCCATGAGTAAGATGGGATGAGCTAGGGTGTGAGCAGTGACACAGGGTCCTGGGAGCTGAAGAAGGTAAGAAAGTGATGGCTCTTTGGGTGGGTGGGACATGTGCATTGTCACAAGACCCTTAGGGAAGGATGAGCCAATGTACTAGAGTCTTGAGTCTCTTGGTAGGATGTACTGTGATCTGTGACTGTATCTTAGGGAAGGAAATACTGAGATGTAGGTGTGCAGAAGCGAGGTATGGCAGTAAGGATGCCAAGCTGGGAGCCCTAGGAATCCACTGGATGGTGCTCTTAGGCAAACCACCTAGTCTTTCACTGAAGGCTTACTGAGTGTAGTGGCCCACACTGCCACTGGACAAGAAGCTTCAGGCCATGTTAGAGAGAATGGTGCCTTGACCACCACAAAGCGGGTCTTGGAGCAGATGTGGTGTGTGCTGATCTGGTACCACCAAGGTTCCTTTTTTCTGAATTAAGTGTTTAGGAACATAATCAAATAATCAAGCAAAGAGCAGCAAAAACAGAACAAGAGGGATGAAGCAGTCTGAGCAGGCATCTCTGTATAAGGAAATAGCCTGTATAGGATTTTTGATAGATACTGAGAATAATATTGGGACACTCAATGGCCACTTCATTTAAGTACTTGCAAGATGAGTACTCTGTGTACTCAGCACCTACATGAAAGACACATCTTAAATGGGCTGCTGTGTTCCCTGCTCTGTCTGCTCATGGCAGGCTGTCTCATCAGGGTCCTACTCTAGGTCACGGAATCACTCACTCAGCAGGTACTTCTGACGCAGCTTAGAACATTTGATAATTGTCATAGTGGCATGGGTGTGGCTGCACCATGTACAGGTTCTTTGCTGTGGACTTGATTGTGTGACTATGTGGCACCCTGGATGTTCACTGCCCAGTCACTGAGACTACTCGGTATTTACCAGTGGGAAGAGGACTGAGGGGAGACTTGGTGCTTACCCTAGTTGTATTTAATAGATATTTGGAGCTCTGGGCACCAAACTTGTTCTTTGAACATGCTAAGCACACACTTTCCAACTGAGCTATATCCCTACGTAAGTGGACGTATCTCTTGTGCAGAATTAAAAAAAAATTTGAAAAAAAAAATAGATTTAAAAGAGACAGGCTGAGAAAGAGCATGTCTGTAACCCTAGCACTTGAGAAGCTGAGGATCAGTAAAATTGAAAGTTGGATGTCATCGTGGGCTATACCAACCTTGGCTTGACAGTAACAAAGAAAAAAACCCACAGCAAGCATCTCCCTCCCCATAAAACAACAGAGAAACAAGACTGTATGTGATATGTGCTATTTATTGCTGCTTGTTTGAACTTACACATTTTCTGCTTGCTTTTATATTGAGCTCTCTTTCACTTATTCCGACGAGTTGTTTTCTAACAGTTTTGCAATTTCTTCTTGACAGAGAAAGAAATTGCTGTTTTTAATAGACCTGGAGATGGGCCGTACGATTTGTAAGAAATTTGAAGAAGACATTGACAATTGCCCATTGCAGGAGGGCCAAGGAGAGAAAAAGGTTTGAGATTAAATCAATCCCTTCTATCAGCAGTCTTTTGGGAAAGAATGCAACTTAAGCAAGCAGGGCCTATCTTCCAGTGCTGGAGCAGCCCTCTGCTCATACCCCCACTGACTGTCCACAGAAAACCTGCAGACACCCACGTGGCCTCCACCTATGATGTAATCTTCCCTGTGGTTCCAGTTCTATGCCTCCAGAGACCTTTGAAGGTCCAGGAAGAACATGATTTTCCTTTGGTCATCAGTCTTCCATTGTTGATTTTTTTTTTTTTTTTGTGGTGGGGAATGAGAACTATTTGTCTGCTCACTCAGGCTTTTTTTGGGGGGGGTCTCAAGGGTGATTCATGGTGACATCTTTGTCCTATAGCTGATATGTGATCCATGGGAACTTGGACCTTATGGATGGTTACCCACCAGGGGGAATTCTATCAGGGTGTGGTCTCACTTTTCAACGAACAGCCTTCAAGTACCCTCAATTGGGATGGGTTTGTGTGTTCTGTTGGAAAGTTTCTAAACAGATCATTTGTCAAGAAATTCCCTGACTTTCAGGACCCTTGGGAGGGGCAGAAATTCATCTATCACCATGTGTGTTAGGGAAGCTGTGAGGACAGAAAGACTTAAGATGGGTGATAGTTCCAGCCAGGTGCTTTTTTCAGGAGACCGTGGGATCAGATTTCACAACCTGTCATTTCTCGTGGTGGAGCCTTGAGCTTTATGAGTCTTTCTATAGGTTAATGTGTTTTAGCTTTCTTTTCCTTTTCTTCTTTTTTAAAACTTAGTTTTGGGCAAATTGAGTCCCTACTATCTAGATAGCCTCAATGCATTGCGCTTTTCTAATTTATGCTTTGTAACTCTTTTTCAGGTGCGCTGCACTTATATTTTGGAGACTCTGCCTTGGATAACTCAGTTCACCGTCATGAACAGTACCTGTGCGGAGATTTAAGCGGGGCCACCATCTCTGTGTACCTGCAGTGAAAGTCCCCTTTCCTCTGAGGGTGACTGTTTGTAGTCCTAGAGCATTTTAGAACCAGCACAATTAAAATCATCTCACAGAACATTCTGGATCCCTGAACAGTGTTTAAGGTTTTCTGCATTGTCTATTTGCCACGGATACCATTCTTAGTGATGAACAATGATACAACTTTATTGTCATTATTATCAGCTCACTTGCAGGTTCAGTGTTGAGTAGATTCTGTGAAACAGTTTCTTGTTTATTTCAAAGTTTCATTCATTCATTATTTCATCATTTCATGTTTGTAAATGTAGTTCATTCATTCATCCTACAATTTCTCCACTCCCTCATTCCTATGCTCAGAAGGAAGGCAAATAATCTTCCAGGGAACAGCCCCCTGCATTCCTTTCTGCTTTCATCTCAGAGACCCGGATCACAGTGGTTGACCCTTCTGCAGATGACTAGAGATAGGCCATGGTGTGTGTGTGTGTGTGTGTGTGTGTGTGTGTGAGAGAGAGAGAGAGAGAGAGAGAGAGAGAGAGAGNAGAGAGAGAGAGAGAGAGAGAGAGAGAGAGAGAGAAAGAGAGAGAGAGATGGAAACTGAAAATGACAGAGATTCTACCCTTATGGGACACTGATAGCTGCTGACAAGAGCGTTGACTCGTGGCTGGTGTGACGTCTTAAGAAACAGTAGCTTCGTCTCAGTGTTCTCACCTGCTCCTGGAAGCTCATGTTCCCACTCAGGTTCCATTTTGGCTTCTATAACTTTCAGCATCATTGTGTCCAGAGAGGCACGGTGCTGCCTCCAGGTTGAGTAACACTGAGTTTCTCCCCTCAGATTCTCAGAAAGCCCTTGGAGGGACGTAAGACTCCAAGTGGGAGGGTGGGACATTGCAGAGTAGGGAAGGCAGGGACAGGACTATCTGGAAGAATACCCAGAATGGAAGCCTGTGAGATCTTTCCTCCTACACTTTGGGTCTCTGGTAACTTCAGTTTTAGTGATCTATGGTAGAGAGTCAGTTCTTTCCCTGTCTTCCTATTCCCATGAACTTGTCCTCATGCCCAGGGACAAGGATTTTAGGAACAGTTCTATGCAGCTCCTTAAATGCAGCACAACAGCAGCCTTTGGCCTTCTGACGTGTGCAGCCTGCTTCCTCCCTCCCAGGCCCAGATCTGGTCAAACAGCGGAGGGAGCAGCTATTGGTCCAAACTCATGAAGCTGAGGGGCCAAGCGTCAAGCGTCTCTTATAGGCCGAGATAGGCACAAGTGGGCACATGAAGTCCCCACATAGAAGGTGCTTGCCTGCTGTCTCCAGCCCTCTGAGCTGCTTAGAGCCAAAGGCTAGAGGCTGAACAGATGCTGTGAGACATGGATGGTCACAGATGTCACAGATGCTATGAGACATGGATGGTCACAGACACTATGAGGCATGGTCACAGATGTCACAGATGCTATGAGACATGGTCACAGGTGCTGTGAGGCATGGTCACAGGTGCTATATATTACATCACAAAGCATGGCCTCCCTCTAAGGGCCTGGGCCTCAAGGTCAGGGCTTACAGAGCTGCCTGGCCAGGACGTGAGTGTGAGCTGAGAGTGTCAGAGACACAGACGAGCCACAAGCTGGAGTGGCCAGAGTGAGGAAGGAGCCCGGCAGGACGAGCAGGTTGGACAGTCTGAGAGGGGTAGTGCCAGTGAACACTGGGGCACACCAGCTTTCATAGTTCTAGCTTACAGGACACAGTAGGTGGTGGCAGGCACGGGGTCACATGGAAACATGTCAGGGTCTCCCAGGAGAGGATGTTTCTCTAGATGAATGGATCATACCCAGGAGGGAGGCAAGAGGCAAAGGCCAAAGGCAGAACCCCTTTAACTAGGGGTGCTACTGATACATTTCGTGAGACAGGAGATAGGTGGCTCTCAAGGGTGTCCTGAAGAGCTGTGTCTTGAATCCAGCTACACTGATACTGAGAAGGTGGGTTCTTGTAAGACCTTGAACTGCAAAATTTATCAGAAGCAAAATGGAGTCATTTCATTGGGCCTTAGCCAGATCCACTAATGAAACATCAAGCTGGAGGCTCTGATGGGGAGGTGGACCTTGTACTTACTGGGTGCCTGATAACAAAAACAGTTCTCAAAGATTCTGCCAGGACCCTAATCTTGCACAAAGGCCATTCAGCCTTCCACAGATGATAGACCCGCAAGGCCAGCTACCCACTATCTTGTCTTTAACCTTGGACCGATGGCATCCTCATGGCTGTTTCTTGCAACCACAGCTTTATTGCCAAAGTCTGATATAATCCTCCTCATTTTGTTTTTCATCTTTTCTTGTTTCAGCCTCTTTGAATATGCTCATTGTGTCTTAAGGAACATGTTTTCCCATTGCAAGGCTCTGCTGCTGCTCCCGAGTAAACATAATAAGGATGTTTGGCATGTGTATGGTGGTGTGGAAGTCACACGTGTGTGTATGGATGTTCCTGTGTGTGTGTGTGTGTGTGTGTGAGAGAGAGAGAGAGAGAGAGAGAGAGAGAGAGAGAGAGAGAGCTAGCTACTTGTGCACCTGTGTGAATATATGTGTGGAGGCAAGAGGTTGACATCAGATATTTTCTCAGTCCCTTTCCACCTTATGCGTGGAGGCAGGAGCTTTCATCTGAAAACAGAGCCCAAGAATTTGGCTAGTTTAGCCAACTATATTTTCTGTCTGCCCTGCCTCCAGTATGCTGGACTTAGAAACAGGCCACGAGACCCACCCTGCATTGTGTGGGTACCGGGGAACTGAACATCCACCCTCACGTTTGCATTACAAGTGTTTTTACACACTGGGGCATCTCCATAGTCTCATAGTCGATATTTTAAAAAAAATATTTAGTTTGTATGTGTGTATGAGTGTGTGTGTGTGAGAGAGAGTATGTGCGTAACATAACGTGTGGATCCCATGATTGAACTCATGTCTTCAGATTCTGCAGCAAGTGTCTTAACCCTCTGAGCAATCCTCATGGCCCCACCAATAATTAATACTCAGAGACCTTTTCTCTGTGTTATTTAATTTGGCAGACCTACAACAGCAGAGCTCTAAGAGGACGTGAAGGACAAACACCTCTTGGGCTTTTTGACCGAGGGACCATGATGAAATACTTGTGGCCCTTCATGCTCATCCTCATTCCAGTGGCTCTGGCAGTTGGTGCGGATCAAGCAAAGAACGAAGTGAAGGTGCTGAGGTACTTTGAATCCATCAACATCTCGAATGCCAATGTGAAGCAGTGTGTGTGGTTTGCTATGAAAGAATACAACAAGGGAAGCGAGGACAAGTATGTCTTCCTCGTGGACAGGACACTGCATGCCAAGCTTCAGGTAAGAAAGTTCTCTTCAGACAGGACTTTTACATACGGTGGCACAGGTGAAGGCCAGGTTGAGAGAGGACACAAATGAAAATACAAGGTAGCCACACAATCCTAAGTGTGTGACTCGTTATGCACGTACTTACAGCGACAAAAGCAGTAGACTCACACGACCCTTCTCACACATGCCCGACTCAGGATCTAGGAACGCGTATTAACTTAGTAACTCAGAACTGCCAATCGAATGCTCTCACACTTATTGAGATCAGGAGAAAAATGAAGCACCAGGAATATTTTCCAATAATGTTGCCACAGAGAAGTGCTCCACAGAACAGGGAATATGGGGTTATACAGAGGGACATGTAACTGTCTATTGGATAAACTACTAGAGTGTCCTGTACTATTTAATTTTAATTTTTAAATTTATTTTTAGTTATGTGCATGCATGCCTGTGGTTAGAGAGTGTGCAGTTGCCTATGGGGGACAGAAGAGGACATTAGACCCCCTAGAAACTGAAGTTAAGGCAGTTGTGAGCCACTCATATGGGTTCTGGGAGCTGAAATCAGGTCCCTTACAAGAGTCCTATGTGTTTTGAGCTGCTGAGCTATGTGTGTTAATGTTTTACCCAATGTGCATTTAGTAAAAGTGAAGACACTGATTTTATCATAAAGATTCACTGTCCAGCTCTAAGGAACACGGTTCACATAAATCCAATGGGCACAGTGCTTCCTGGGGTTTGCAACACAGTACTTACTGCTCTCTTTTGTATAACACCCTCCCCCAATGGCAATTCAGGAATTGAAAACTGAAGCCTCAGTTAGTTGGTTGTGTGATTGAATTGGAGAGGTTTTCAACAGCAATATCACTGTTATGACAATTCATGTTTCCCCATGTCTCAGGAAAACATTCCCTCAACATTGTATCTCTAGGACATGATGCTGATGATGTAGCATCCTTTACTGATGGTTTGCACTCCACAATCCCTCTTTTACAGCCTCTCGTTCACTTTCTTTGGTGCTCAGGTAGCACGAACAATTGGTAGTAGTAAATTTCTCATGAGCCGTTTTTGTCTTAGCTCCTGTGAGGGGGATGGTGAAATGAACAACATTCTTCAGACTATAGGGAGCCAGAAGTCCAACCAAAAAGAAAACCCCTCAGCCAGGAATTAGAATTCTGTTTTGTATTGTGGTACAGCACAGGGGAGCAGACTCTCAGGGGAATGTTTTAGACAATGTTTTCCACCTATAGAATGTATAAATTCCCTACCAAACAGACCAAATCTACTATTAAAATGAGAGTCTCTAAGTGGTGTCCTGGTCATGGGAGGTGTTCAGCTTATCCGGATGATGTCAGTACATAGTATTGGCAAGAACTGTCACTGTCTTGGGCATGACCTGGAAGGTAAGGCTTGAAGTCAGAGTAGGAGTTAATGTTGGGGGGAGGCTGTTGGGAGGCTGGCTTCCCCAGAAGCAGAGCATCATGGTAGAATTCAAGGGCAGGTGGAGCATTTTGGAGGCCTTTCCAGCAGGCACTGCGAGGGTAGGAGGGAAAGGAGACAAGACAGTGGAAGGTGGCTGACCCAAGGGTGAGTTAATGAGACTGATGGAGTTGGGAAGGCATACAGAACGCAGTCAGGCTGGGCCACTCTGTGGGTGGTTGGGCTATTTATTCACCAATCCCCTTCTGCCCACTGCTGAAAGCTGGTCTAGGAGCCCTTGGTTCCTGCTGGGAGCAGGAAATCTCAAGCAAGAACCACAGGAGCTGGCACTATGTTTGGGAACAATACTGATAGCATCTGCTGCAAAAGGACGGCAGGAAGGACCAGGGATGCGAGGGTGGGAAAGTACAGTCAGGCGTTCTAGATCCTTCCTGTAAGGCTGCCAGCATGGCACCATGCCATGCTTGGCCTTAAGGGAGGGCCAAGATTTTTAGTTTGTTGTGGGAACACACAAATATTTGGGCTAGGAAGCATTTAGGATTCCTGTGATCAAATTTGAGTTGCGAGGATGTCTCTTTTCTTTTCTTTTCTTTTCTCTTCTCTTCTCTTCTCTTCTCTTCTCTTCTCTTCTCTTCTCTTCTCTTCTCTTCTCTTCTCTTCTCTTCTCTTCTCTTTTCTCTCTCTCTCTCTCTCTCTCTCTCTCTCTCTCTCTCTCTCTTTGTTGTTGTTAAATCAAGAATCTTCATGATGATCTATCCATGCCTTTTGCTATTGTACTATGTCCCTAGTTTCCAAATTTGAATTTGAAAAATAGCACCTGGCTAACTTATTTATAGAAAGAGGTTGTAAGGACACAGTCAGGATGTCCACATGACAGCAATACCTAGCCTCCTGGCTTTTATTCTCATTTCTTTGTGGTCACAAGCAGAAAAGCCTCACCACCTTTCCTGGCTGGCTTAGCAGAGACGGCAGATTGGTGAGCCTGGTGGGCAGGTGGTGTCAGCCCTAGTGCTGAGAGTCTTCTTTTAGAGACTTGGATCAACTGCTAGATACATACTCGAACCTTCTGTGCCTTCTGTGTACTTGAAAATAGAAGGGGAGTGAGTGACACCTTTTTCTGGAGGACTGAAGAGTCCCTGAGTTTTCCCTCCTCCCCAGAAGATGGCACCTCACAACGCTCATCCCTGTCCTCTGACTCTCCCAGTCTTTCTGTGCTTGCTTCTACAATGTTCCCTAAGCTTTGGCAGGGGAGACAGAGAGATGCCCCTGTTTAGGGCTGATCACTGAACAATCATTTAGTCTCAGAACTTTGACCATTATGGGTCTCTGTGTTTCCTCTCAGTCACTGTAAACAAATGCATCGCTGACCTAGGCCATCCTAATTTATGGGCATAAAATAAATATTTAGTGGCTGTGTTTGTGTCTTGCCTGCAACTGGTGGCATAAGGTTGGGTGCAGAATTTTCTACTCATGACATCATGTTGATGCTCTAAAAATTTCAGATTTTAGAGTATATTTTATTTCAGGTTTTTGGATGTGGAATGCATGAACTGGATGGTCTAGTCCACAGTATTCTCGGCTTTCTCTGAGTCTATCACTTACTCCCAAACCCAATGTGTAGCTCTGCTGGTGATGATGCCCTGGGCCCAGCTTATTCCTCCAACACAGGCCAGAGTTACTTCTGCCCATCTTTAGAGCACAGTAAAAATTGAAGCCAACCTTACGGAGGTTTGTAGATAAAGCAAGAAGGATTGTGTGTTTTCCAAAGCTTTTGGGAATTATACAAAAACTTTTTTTAATTAAAATTGCACCATTGTTCATTGACAGATTACAGACCGAATGGAATACCAAATTAATGTTCAGATTGCCCGCAGCAATTGTAAAAAGCCTCTAAACAATACTGTAAACTGCGTCACTCAAAAAAACTCCAAACTGGAAAAGGTGAGTGATGAATGATCCATCTATGACAAACGTAAATGACTTCAAGTCCCATCTGGGATTATCAAGGCTTCTAGGTAGCTGGTTAATCTTGCATGCCCAGATTATTATTATAGGAGGTCTGAATGGCTCCCCATGTGGGATCCCATATGGCCCACCTTGCTGCCCTCGAGTAGAAGATGAAGGATATCATCAAGGTCACTCCTACTCTAAGGCTTCCATGACACTGGGCTTTTGATGCAGGAGAAACTATTGGCATCTGTTCACTGAAAGTCTGTCCTCTTGGACTGAGACTCGCTTCCACGGTTGGTGAGGTGAATCACTCATGTCTGGGTAGATACAAAGGAAGTCTGCTGGCACACTCATCTACACATAATTCCTATTGATCTGCAGCAGGCCTATTCCAGGTGCTGGAGATTAGGCACTATCTAGCCCAGACAACATCTCACCTGTTAAGCATAGCCCATCCCAGACTTGGGTTACCTTGGAGATGAGGAAGTTACACTATTCATTTTCTCATTACCATTTGTGCATCAGTTGAGAGCTTCTCAGAGAGCTCTTGGCTTACAATTTAAATCCTAGGGTTTTAGTTGATAAAAACTGGGCTCAGGCAGGGGCAGAGAGCAGCCCATGCCATGATGGGCTTAGTTAAGAGGCTTTTGGACACAGCCTGTATGTCTTGATCTCCAAGTTAGTGCGGAGCCCTAAACTATTCATTCCATGGTGAAGCTGAGGTTGGTGAAGGGCCTGGTTGGGCAGAGGTATCTGCTTTCCTTTCTTTACTCGGATGGTTCTCCAGCATAAAAAGAGACCAGCATCACACGGAGGCTCCACCAGCAGATGGCTGGGTCTCATTTGTAGTTTCTGATTCAAGGATTTTCATTCTGAGAAAATCCCCAAAGGACATTTTGAAAGCCTCTGCTGTATGTATTGAGCAAACATTTGCCAGTAAAACGAACAGAGTGTGTCCAGTTATGTTTGACTGAAGTTGTCTCCACACACTAAATGTTAGAAAGGGTATCATGCCCAGACAATAGAAGGTATTCACTAGAACAAACATATCAGCCCTGGGCACATCCTAACATCATCTAATATCTGATTGGTCATTTACTGTTGTTTGGAAGATTGTGATTTTAAGTTTATGTTTTATGCTGGGCTCCCTGGAGTTTTAGGACAGTCGGTGACTTTTATTCTACATATTCCCAGGCTGATGCCTAACGACAGGGTAGTTCTCCTTTGGACATGCTACTGATGTTCACTGTTAATGTCTTTTTCAGAAAGTAAATTGCAGCTTTTTGGTAGGGGCGCTTCCCTGGAATGGAGTGTTCACCCTGTTGGACAAGGACTGCAAAGATATCTAAGGGTGTCGTGGAGCATCCCTCCCACTTCTGAGTCTGCCTTTCTCTGTGATAAAAGAGCAACGTTGGTTCAAGGCTGCCACCATCACTTTGCTCGTGTGTGCCTCCCTGCTTGCTTTCTTATTAGTTTCACATTAGAGGAAAGGGGTGAAATAGGGACTCTGCCCTGGCACCAAAGATGGACCCTCACCTGTAGCCAGCTTCAGGACCACCGGCGTGTGGACTACTTTTGCTCCACATGGTCAATGGAAGGAGAAATGTATTTTGATTGGATAATAATCCCTTAAAGAGATCTGAACCTGGTGGGTATTGTTCAAAAGATCTCTTCTAGATGCCTCTCTGGACCTGAGGCTCCTTTCTGTCTAAGAGTTCCAGGCGGGACATCACTATGTCAGGAGCAGCAGCCCATCCCTGGGGGGAGGTGTGATTTGTGAATTGGGGGACTTTTGTTTCTTCTGCCAATATCACGTCCACCCTCGTCCCACAAGGAAAAACGCAACACCCGGAGCTCTTCTAGCAGCAGTTTTCAGGACGTTATTCACAATAATCTTTCTCCTTCTCCTTCTCTCTTTCCCTCTCTTTCTACCCTCTCTCCCCGGGCAAACCTCTCCCAGCCCTTAAGTAGGCATGGGCTGCCAACCCCGAACTGCCAGGTGGGCACTGCCCATAGGTTCACACATATGCAGGCAGCTGATAATCATTGCGTGATCATAGAATAGGTCAGGCCTTAGCCATCTCAGGAGTTGATTATACATCTCTCTCCATCAGGTGTGACACCACGCAGCTCGCTACATGCCAATTTGAGAAATGGTCAGAAAGAGAAAGCAAGAGACCAGTGTGAACTGTGTTGCCTGAAGTATATCTCTGTGCATGCACTCATGTGTGAGCATGCGTGTGTGAGAAGAATAGAGCAGGAACAAGAGGGGAGATGGGAGAAGGGGGGAGATAGAGATGGAAGTGGATGAACATGGATGATGGCAAGAGGTAGAATTCCTTGGCAGAAAGTGATCATGTCGGGGCTGGAGAGATGGTGGTTAAAAACGTTTGCTACTTCTCAGAGGGCCTAAATTTGATCCCCAGAACAGACATGGCAGCTCACAGAACCATCTGAACCCCAGGCTCAGGGAATCCAACACCTTCTTCTGACTCCTATGGGAGCCAGATATACGTGTGCTGTACATATATGTGCATGTGTGTGTGTGTTCAGGCAAAACACTCAAAGCCAGAAAATAAAAATAAATCTTACAAAAACCACCTATGTATCTAAGGGGGAATAGAGAATCCCAGTTTTGTGATATGAACAAGTTATCAGTGTTACTTCGCTTGGCACTTCTCATATGTACACTTAAAATGTTTAAGATGGTAATCTTGTGTTAGATGTATTTTACCACTATTTTAAAAAATTAAAAGACCTGTACATTTTTATTTCAATTCTATAGTTCTGGGGATGGAACCCGTGATCTTAGATGACACATCTGTCTGAAACGTAGTGTCAGGCATGATTCAGAAGGCCAGACACATATTCCATGAACCCAACATGAGCCCGGATTTATTCACTTTGTCAGGTTGACAAAAGATTTCAATATTTCTTCCCAGAAAGAAGGAAGTCATGAATCTCAAAGGCATAAGGCCTTGCGCACTTAAGCCAAGCCCGTCTGCTCATGTGTGACCTGTGTGAATGAATGTGAGGACTGACCGTTCTAAAGGGGTGGATGAGGCTGGAAGCAGTAGGTGGTCCTGCAAGAGCATCTTAGGAGGAACTTTTCTACGTGGTGGGTGCGGTTAGACACATAAGATGATTTGTAGTCTCTCAGTGAACAAGGTAAGACGGTCACCAGGGCTTAGGACAGGTGGTAGCTCCTGAAGGTTTGGGGAGCAACCCCAGGTCCAGGGTGTCCTTTTTGATAATTCTTTGCGGGTGTCTTTGTGGTAGAGGCTGGGAAGGGCAACTTCCACCGGGCATAACTCTGGGGCTCACTCATGGCTTAGTGGAGGTCATTCTGCCTCAGTCTCCTAACCATATTCTGACTTCCTGTCTCTTTGCAACCAAGAAGTGAAAGAAAAATGCTGGCCTGAAACATGGAAAAGGCAAAGGAAGTCAGTTTGCTTTTTGAAAGCATCTTGTTGCAGTACTAATTGGACTCTAGGTTTAAAAAAATTAAAAAGTCAGTTTTTTCTCTCTGATTTTTGTTTGAATATGAATTTAAATATGATTCACATGCTAGATCTTTTATATTTGTGCTGTATCCTTCTGAGCCCCAGAATCACAAATGAATGTGTGTGTGTGGGGTGTGTGTGTGTGTGTGTGTGTGTGGTGTATGCGTGTGTATGTGTGTGTGTGTCTCACAAATGAGCCTTGCCTATCATCTGCCATGTGCCTAGAATTTATTTCCGCTGAGGTGTTGGACTGTGCTGGTCCCATGACTCTTACTGCACAGCAGCTGTGGCTCCCAGGAACCCACCGTGGATAAACTTCACTAATGGCGGCCAAACCTCAGGCCCATGATACATTTTGGCCAGTGTTGACTGTGGGGCAGCAAGGATGGGCATGGGATCAATTGATGTAAATGTTAGGGTGTTTTTCACCGAGGAACTCCAGCTCACAGCAGCTGTATTCACACGCTCCTGGTGTCCTCTCCTGATGTGTCTTCTACATCTTCTGCAATGTGAGTTGAGGAGGCTGAACAATGGTTCCAAAATGTCTATATGCCAGTCCTTGGAATCTGTGAGCAAAATACATACCTAGTTATAGCAAGTCTAATTGTTCTGTGACCCTGGCTAGTATGCCCTCCACGTCAGCCCCTGACAATCACGTTAGTGTGCTGAAAATAAAAACCCCAGAACAATGCTCCACTCTCAGGAAACTGAAGACTTAAAAGTGGATTTGAATTATGAAATTATTTCTTCACACTCAGTGCATTTTCCTTGTTTTCTAAATTACTTGATATTTTCTGTGGCTCAACAGTTCTCGCCAAGAGAAGCCTTTGCCCCACTTCACCAGCCTTCCTCTGAATGTACTGTACCCTTGACCTTCTGCGGGGCTGGCTGGAGTGTGGCTCTGAGGTCCTTCCCTAGTGTATGTTCTCTGCTTCGGATGAGCATCCTCAGGAACAGAAGGTGATGTCGGTGCCTGGACAGCCCCTTCTGTGAAGTCGACTTTGTGGTACTACCCTGCCCAGATGCTCTGTCTTCTTCACACAACACTTGCCCCACAGCCCTGTGCTCTGCCCTACAGACAGACCTTCCTCCAGAGACACCACGGTGGTACACACACCCCTCCACACCCTAAGCTTTCTGACAGATCCACTCAGCGCATCCTGTTTTCATTCAGAACCTTGCCTGTTCTCACGGCCAGAACCCTCAGGGCCCTCACAGAAGTCGCTGCTCCTGTTTCACCACGTACCGCTGATGTGGTGCTCACTAGCGCCCCCTGCAGGTAAGCTGGGGGTCTCCTGTACATCCTCCCGCAGCCTCATTTTGTCAGCACAATAAAAGGAATACCAGCTTCAATCCAGAGCTAAGGAGAGGAACTTGACCCTGAGGGGCAAGCTTCACCATTAAGAAAAGGCCCAGTTTTCAAGTCAGAGATTGCTCAAAAATCCTAGGGAGGGGTCCCCTCCTGATAGTCTTGCTTCCTTCATGAGAAGGGAATGCAGGACGCAATGACAAGTTCTGAGGATCTTTCCCAATTCAGCCAGCTTTGTAGCAAGATTCTGGGTCTAGCATCAGAGTCCAGTACCACACCACAGAAGGATGTCCAGGTATACAGTAGACCCCACATAGGATCGTAGTCTCATAACTCTTTAATGGAGCCGGAACATTTCTCCCGCTAGTGATGCTACAACCTTTCTGAACCTTGTAACACCACGCGTTCCCTACACTCAAGTTTGTGCTGATGCTGGCTGCGGAGGAAACATCAACTGTACCATTGCCCCATGTACTTGATAGTGATGGGGAATGATTGCTAGTGGCTTCTGTATTTAGTGGACTTCACCGTTACTTCAGAGTGTCCTCCTATTGTTAAAAGGAAGCTTAGGTGCAAGAGCCTGCCAGGTGACAATGACAGCAGCCATCTGATTGCCTCGTCTTTTATGAGCACCAAGAGGCTATGTGGAATAATAGGTTAGCATCACCCAGATTTGTGTAAGTGTATTCTAGAATGTTTCCACACGAGATCATCTAAAGATAGAGTTCTCAGAATCTGCCCCATTATTGAGATGGGTCCCCACATGGGTTACAAATCATGCAATGTTCTCTTTAGAGACAGCCGACTTGAATGACAATGGTGGTCCTGAGCCCTGATTCCTGTGTCAGGGTGAGTCCTGCTGGGCTAGGCACTGTTTCTGGCTGTGGCTTCTCAACTTTTACAGCTTAGCACTTATTTAAGAAGTGACTGGGGCTGGAGAGATGGCTCGGCGGTTACGAGCATTGCCTGCTCTTCCAAAGGTCCTGAGTTCAATTCCCAGCAACCACATAGTGGCTCACAACTATCTGTAATGGGTTCTGGTGCCCTCTTCTGGTATGCAGGCAGATATTACATAATAAATAAAAAAATAAACATTCAAATAAAAAAAATTTTAAAAAGTGACTGGTGTGCAGGGCATGGTGGCACACCCCTTTAATTCCTGCTCTCAGGAGGCAGAGTCAGGTGGATCTCTGAGTTCAAGGCCAGCCTGACCTACAGAACAAGTTCCAGTACAGCCAGAATTACACAGAGAAGCCCTGCCTCTCATAAAAACAAGACAAAAGAAGAGACTGTAAGTGCTAGATCTGTAGAAAATGCAAGATGTGACCTTTTCCTTTCCAAGCTCAGTGGCTTTTAAAGAGTGTTAATCAAAAAAGGAATGATACTGACTTTATGGCCTCAACTGGGCAAACTTTCATGAGACCTCTTTCTCTTTGAGAAATAGCACAACATCCTTCCCTCTGGCAGATCCCAGGTTCTTTAGATGAAAAAGGCTCAAGGTGGCCTTCGGACATGTGGGATGTCATCGTATGGGACAGCGCTGTGTGGAGAGGTGACAATAAACAGCAACAGCTCTGTTGAGGAACTTTAGCTTTGCTCACCTGGAGATGACTAGAATGTCTGCTCGGAAGGGAATTTCCCATGGTGACTATGTTGTAAGAAAAGGTGTGGGGTCTTGTTTGGAAGCGTCTTTCCACATTTCATATAAAAATGGAAAAGTTGCATTTGTTCATGTCAAGAATTGGAGAGGCTGGTGGTGGATAAAAACCAAGACACCACCAGGATCCTGCTGTTGACTCAGCGTTTCCACATGGTGTCCCTCTGCTAGGGTTTAACACCCTATCAGATAATTTAAGTAGAGTTGCTATTTTGTGTCAGTCCACCAAGACTAGTGTGGAGGCCCAAAGAGGCCGAAGGTCAGAGAGTTTGGGTCTTGTTTTTTTAGTTCATTTAAGGTTCCTATTGTCAACGCGTGTGGCTAGTCACCGGACCTCCCGCTCCTGAAATAGGAAGTAGTTGGTTCCTACCTAAAACAAAAAGTCTAAGGATCCAACTAAGTTCCAGTTTTCTTTATGGAAATAACTTGGGATTCCACCCAGGAAGTGGTTAGCCTACAGAGTGTTTGGTCTTGGGCGTGAGTCTAGGGCATGAGTGGTGAATGTAGCCCGTGACTTTCAATTTGTATGTTAGTTAACGCAGTCTTTCACTCCTACGTTTTGGGGTCAGGGGTATATTAACCTGTTGGAAATTAAACACAGGTGAATTTTCAGTACTCACTGAAAAATTCTCCCCTGCTACTATCCTACATGTTTCTGCATTTTATTATTTTCATTTGTGTCTTTGTGTTCTTTACTATATTTCTAAATTCCCACGCCTCCACTCTGAAGAGGGTATTTTTGTCGAGGCTGGCGCCTGACAGACTAGGTTCTTACAAGATGGCGGTTTGATGTCCGCTTGGCACAAGCCAGAGTCATCGGAATCAACTGAGAAAATGCCTTCATTACACTCGACTGTAGAGCATTTTCTTAACTAGTGATTGATGGGGAGGGCCCAGTCCATGGTGGGCAGTGCCAGCCCTGGGCTGACAATCCTGTGTTTTATAAAATAACCAACTGAGAAGGCCGTAGAGTGGGTGAGTGTAAGCTGCATCCTTCCATGGCTTCTGCCTCAGGTTTTGCCTCCAGGTTCCTGCCCTGTTTGTGTTCCTGATCTGACTTCCTTCAAAGATGAACAGTGTTGTGGAAGCATAAGCCAAACAAATCCTTTCCTGCCCAGAATTCTTGTGGTGAAGGTGTTTAATCCCAGCAATAGAAACCCTAACTTAGATAATGATGATGGGTCTTGATTCCTGATTCCTGACTCCTGTGACAAATACATCCCTTCCAGGAAGACAACAGCTTCGTCTTTGCCCGGGGTTGTATCAGCATGCTCCCATACCCTTTTTTGGATGTGGTGCCAATCATGGCCTGACCAGCTGACCTAAAGCTTGTCCCTATCCTACCCGCTATGAAACTCACTTCGGTAACTCTCCTGGGGCATACAGTTTGAGTTCAGCTGGAACAATTTAATGAAAGATTTGCCAGCACCTGGTTACTTTCTCCTGGTGTGTTCTCTTCCACCCTTCTTTTGAGCCACTAAATAAACTTTCTCCACCAATTACTCACTGAGTGTCTTGTCCCTTCATCTAAACCCTGTGTATTAAGTCAAACTTGGTATTTGTTGACAAATCTGGTGAAGGTCCTGGCTGTTCTTTTGTAGACAGTGCTGTTGGTTCCTACTGCAGCACAGGCTTGCTTTTCCTGCTAGCAGCCTTGCCAAAGGCAGCCTTCTGCTTCCAAGGTCAGTAGCTGAACATCCCGTCTCTGGGTCTTGTTTTTCTCTGTGGCTTGGGTGTCGTTTCTCTTATCTTCACCCCATTGTATGTCCCTCCTGAGTGCTTTTGTGTTTTCATTGTACAGGCTCCTCCATCTCAACATCTCTAAGATTTCATAATATGCAAGAACTATAGTGGTGCCTGGGGCTGGGTAGCCAGATGGTTCAGAGGTTAAGAGCGCCTCCTGCGTTTTCAGAAAGCCAAGGTTTAATTCCCGGAACCCACATCACAACTGACAACTGTCTATAACTATAATTTTAGGGAATCTGATGTCTTCGTTTGACCTCTGGAGGCACCAGGCACACATGTGGTGCATAGGCATATATGCAGGGAGAACACCCATATACATAAAATGAAAATACAATACAATAAAATAAAAGAACTATCATGGAGGAGAAAACAATGCTATGAGCACCACTGCTGGGACAGAAAACAAAAAGCAACAATTATAATCATCTGTGAGTGGATTAAAATGACATTAGTGATCTCAAATATATGAATGGGATAAATTTTCCTAAGAAAAGAGCCAAAGTTATATTCTAAGTTTTAATTACCATGCCTTAGAGGTCCATAAAAGACAAATGCCTCTGATCTACAAGCCCCTTGCCCAAGGACAGATAGTTCCTGAAATGCTGGAGGCTGTTGTTTATGGGAGATAATAAGCTGCCTGTTTTTCATGCCTCTAAACAAATTTTTTAGACCCAGCTGCACCTATATGCTTGATCACATGTGGCCAGGAGGTTCACAGGCTAGAAGTTCATCAGGATGTATGCCTGTGTCTGATTGGACCTGATGGAAAATACCATGAATTATGGGTTTTTCTGTTTTAAGCCATTGCAAACTATGATTCTGGGCCATTTTCCAGGAGCCCAGGTATGGACCTGGTCAGAGCCCAGTATTTAATTAAAGCATACTTCAAATTTGGGGCTTTAAACTGTGGTAGTGCTCTTATTCTCGATTGGTGGGATTTACAGAACCAAGGCATGATAATATAAATTGGATCAAACATAACTGAAAACCAAAATAACCAAGCGTGGATATATGTGAAGATCTGGGTGAAAATAAGTTCTATTCTGGAGTGGGTTAGAAAACACAGTGACTCAAGGAAGATCTGGAACAATCTTTATAAAAGAGATGATAACGTATCTTTAGATGTGTTATTGATGGGCTTCTTGATTCCAGGAGATTCTTGTGGAATGGGCTGCTTAGTTAGGGGCTTCCCTGTGACCCACCTGCACACAGAGCGCCACCAATTTTCCCCTGCTTGATGGGTCCCCGACATTGTCTAGAGCAGGGTCAGACAAACTGGAAGACTCCAGCAAATACTTATACTACATATTCTGGTGTTTAATGTGTTAAGCATGATTCATTTCAGAGACGTAATAGTTTTGAGCCTGAATATATTTCAAATTATATCAGTACCTCAAAATAGCAAATGTTGACAGAATTGCCAGGTGACAAGATGCACCCCAAGGATATGAGTATTGTCACACACACTGCTTGGGCACTCACATCAGGAAGAGACAGAGGAGGCATGGCTCACAGTGGCGTGCTCATCTGAGGGTTACTTGCAGAGTCTGTTGCCCAGAACTTGGTAGATCTGAAAATCAGGAACCAGTTCTTCAGGAGACTGGAGCTCATAACTGGGAAATGACGGTCCATGGAAGAAATTCACCTGGCAGGGAAGAGAAAGTAGAGGGAGGAAGAGTAAACCTCAGCCTCAAGACCCCACCCCAAAAGAGAGAGCATTCAGAGACTTAGGAGGTGCAGGTGTGGGAGGCAGAGGAAGAGGCGCCAGTGGGTAGGTTCCTTTTGTTGTCCTGCCCAGGGAACATGTGGGTCCCAACTGGCACCTCGTCTCAGCTCAAAACCAGCCTTTGATCCTACTGTCTACCCACTTGCATTTTTCTTCCTGTTTTAAAGTTTACTTATCTGCACACCCCCACGCCCTTTGTTGGCTTTCATGTGGTAAGGTGATGTGTGCCAGGTACTTTGTGTGTGCACAGAAACTTCACTTACTGAGTTAGAAGTTTGATTCACAGAAACTAATCATGGATTCACTTGTCCCCTTATTTCACTCTGCCTTTGATTTGTTTTGCCTTTTGTATTTGCCAATATGCCTAGAACTAGCTCTTGTAGACCAGGCTGGCCTCGAACTCACAGAGATCAGCCTGCCTATGCCTCCCGAGTGCTGGGATTAAAGGTGTGCGCTACCACCGCGCGGCTATAGTGTCACATCTTGGCTGCTACTGCTGAGGTGTCCTGCTGAGTCACTGAGAGCATCCGGTGTAAATGCCTGAATGCCAGCTATCCTAATATCTAACAAAATAGACTTCAAAACAAAATTAATCAAAAGAGATGGAGAAAGACATTTCATATTCATGACAGAAAAATTCTATCAAAATTAAGTCTCAGTTCTGAACATCTATGCTCCAAGGGCACCCACATTTGTAAAAGAGATATTACTAAAGCTTAAATCACACAACAAACCCCACACACTAATAGTAGGAGACTTCAACACCCCACTCTCACCAATCAACAGGCCTTCCAGACAGAAATTTAACACAGAAACAAGGGAACTATTGGAAGTTATGACTCAAATGAACTTAATAGACATCTAAAAACATTTCACCCAAACACAAAAGAATATACCTTCTTCTCAGCACCTCATGAAATCTTCTCTAAAACTGATGACTTACTTGGTCATAAAGTAAATCTCAACAGATACAAAAAATTGGAATAACCCCTTGTATCTTATTGGATCACCATGAAAGTTGAGCTTAACAACAACTTTTCACAGACCTCAAAAGAACAATACTCAACTTCACATGGAAAAAGAAAAACCCGGGATAACTAAAACAATTTTGTACAATTAAGAAACTTCTGGTGGTATCAATATCCCTGATTTCAAGCTCTACTATTGAACTATAGTAATAGAAACAGTTTTGTATGGGCATTAGAAACAGACATGTTGATCAATGGAATCGATTTGAAGACCCTGATATAAGTCCACACAACTATGAACACCTGATTTTTGACAAAGAAGTCAAAAATATACAATGGGGAAAAAAGAAAACATCTTCAACAAATGGTACTGGCATAACTGGATAGTTGTATGTAGAAGAATGCAAATAGATCCATAGCTATAGTCCTGCACAAAACTCAAGTCCAAGTGGATTGAAGACCTCAACATAAATTCAGTTACACTGAAGCTGATAGAAGAGAAGTAGCCTTGAATGTGTTGGCACAGGAGTCCACTTCCTGAATATAACACCAGCAGCACAGTCACTGTGATCGACAGTTAATGAATGGGACCCCCTAAAACTGAAAAACTTCTGTAGGGCAAAGGACACTATCAATAAAAAAAAATGGCAGCTTACAGAATAGGAAAATATTTTCACCACCCCTTCATCTGACAGAGAACTGATAATACACACACATATGTATGTATATATAATACATAAAAAGAATATACATATATTTTTATAAAATACATAAAGAATTCAAGAAACTAGACATCAAAATAAAATAAATAAAATAAAATAAAAAAGAATAATCCCCTTAAAAAGGGGGTACAAACTTAAACAGAGACTTATCAACAGAAGAATCTTGAATGGCTTAGATACACATCAAGCATTGTTCAACATCCTTAGCTATCAGGGAAATGCAATCAAAAATGACTGAGATACAATCTTACACTTGTTAGAATGGCTGAGATCAAAACACTATTGACAGCCATTCACTATTCACTATTGACAGTCAAACACTATGTTGGAGAGGATGTGCAGTAAGGGGAACACTCCTCCATTATTGGTGGGAGTGCAAACTTGTACAGTCACTTTTGGAAATCAGTATGGTGGTTTTTGAGAAAATTGGGAATCAATCTACCTCAAGACCCAGCATTACCACTCTTGGGCATATAGCCAAAGAATGCTCAATCATATCACAAGGACACTTGCTCAACTATGTCCATTATTCATAATATCCACAACCTGGAAACAACCTAGATGCCCTTCAAACAAAGAATGGATAAAGAGAATGTGATACATGTATACAATGGAGTGTTACTCAGCAGAAAAAACAATGCATTATGAAATTTGCAGGCAAATAGATGGAAATAGAAAAAAATCATCCTGAGTGAGGTAACCCAGAAAGACAAACACGATATGTACTTACTCATAAGTGGATATTAGATGTAAAGCAAAGGATAACCAGGCTATAATCCTCAGCCCCAGAGAAGCTAGGTAACAAGGAGGACCCTAAGAGAAACACTTGGATCTCCCCGGGAGAGGAAATTCATGAGATGTCCTGGATAAACTAGGGGTGGGGCAGGGATAAAGGGTTTGGGGGATGGGAATATGAGGGATCAGGTTGGTCCAGTTGGGGCTGGGATGGAGGGGGAGAGTAATGAACGAGATATCTTGATAGAGGGGGCCACTATGGGCTTAGGGAGAAACATAGTGTTAGAGAAACTTCCAGGACTAAGACTCCTAGCAATAGTGTAGAGGGTGCCTAAACTGGCCTTCTCCTGGAATCAGATTAGTGACTACCCTAATTGTCTTTACAGAGTCTTCGTCCAGTAACTGATGGAAGCAGATGCAGTGATCCACAATCAAGTCCTGTGCCAAACTCTGGGAGTCCAGTTGAAGAGAGGGAGGGGGGATCATACGAGCAAGGGAAGGGGTTAAGATCATGATGGGGAAACCCAAACGGGCAGCTGACCTGCGTTTGTGGGAGCTCACGGACTCTGGACCGATAGCTAAAAAGTTGGCATGGGACCACCTGGGTTCTCTGCATGTGAGTGACAGTTGTGTAGCTTGGTCTTTTTTTGGGCACCTAGTTTGACCAGGAGTTGTCCCTGACACATGAATTAGTTCTTTGGAATCTATTCCCTATTGTGCCCAGCCTTGATGCAAGGAGGAGGAGCTTGGCACTGCCTCAACTTGATATGCTATGCTGTATTGACTCCCATGGAATACCTTACCCCTTCTGAATGAGATGAAGGAGGAGTGAATGGGGAGAGGGTAGAAAGGGAGTGGGGAGAGGGAAGGGAGAAGAAAAAGGGGGGGAAAGTGTGTTGGTATGTAAAATAAAGAAGGATTAGCTGTATGCATGCCTATAGCGTATTTTCTTAGTGTTTGATGGGGGAGGGACCATTATTGTGGGTGGTGCCTTTCCTGGGCTAGTTATCCTGAGTTCTATAAGAAAGCAGGTTGAGCAAGCCAGTAAGCAGCACCCTTCAATGGCTGCTGCATCAGCTGCCACCAGGTTCATGCCCATCTTGAGTTCCTGTACTGACTTCCTTTAATCATGATCAGTGATATGGAAGCCAAAGAAACCTTTTCTTCTCCAGCTTGCTTTTTGGTCATGGTGTTTCAGCATAGCAATAGAAACCCTAGCTAAGACAATCACATTCTACCAGTAAAAGAAGCTTTTCTGATGGGGGTTGAGAGGGCATGACGATGAGAACTTGGGGAGCAGTTTAATAATATGTCCATTTAGTATAATGAGTTTTTGACCCAATTCATGGTACTAGGCGTAAATTTCATCTTGTAGAGTGGGTTTTAAATCCAAGCAGAAAGTGTTTATTTACTCTGTAACATTTGTACCTCTATTGCACCAGTAGGCATAGCTTGCCAGGCCAGTCATTACGATGACTTGCAGGACTCGTAACTGAGTAAGACTATTGATTCCTCTTCTCCCCTGGAAGAGGGCATAGAACCTTCTAATACTAAGAAAACTAGTCATGAGGGAGGAAGCTTTTAGGTTAGTCAATAATAGCTCTTTGGTATAGCAATGAAAAACTGTCACATAGCTGTCAAATCTTTATCAGTTGCTTCACATCCACCTGTTAGGATGGCTATCATCAAAAAGACTAGAGACAAATTTGATGCAGCTGTCTTTGAGTCCTTTCTACTCCTATGAGAAAGCCCTCACTTATATTTCTGCAAGTAACCCTAATAAAACTTATTGGTTTACCAAGTTTGTCTTTGGGGGTGTTTTTACTTTTTCTGCTTTTGGTTTCCTAGCTGGAATGAATATATAGTTTTGTTCAAATCTCCCTGGAATAGTGTCACACATTACAAGTGTTGCAAGGGGTGAGGGGGGCCCGTTGTTTGTCCCGGACTCCCGGCTAGCTTACACCTGAAATAATCACACAGAAATTGTATTCATTAAAACATTGCTTGGCCCATTAGCGCTAGTTTCTTATTGGCTAATTCTTACATCTTAATTTAACCCATTTCTATTAATCTGTGTATTGCCATGTGACTGTGGCTTACTGGCAAGATTCTAACCAGCATCCATCTCAGGCAGAAGATCCATAACTTCTCCCACTCTGCTCTTCTTCCAAGCATCCAGTTCTGTTTTCTCCGCTTACCTAAGTTCTGCCCTATCAGGCCCAAAGCAGTTTCTTTATTCATTAGCCAACAAAAAAAACACATGAACAGAAAAAACTCCTACACACACAAGAGCAGTGGGCCAGAGGTTGATGGGGTTGTCTGAGGTATCCTGACTAAAACGGCATCAGAGAGGCTGGCTTACCTCACAAAGGGATGCAGGTATGACCACCTGGTAGGAGAGTGGAGTCATAGGGCAGAAGCACCTGGGACTTAAACTCCCACAGATGCCTGAGCTGGAATGGTGATGGAGAACAACCTGGGGCTACAGGCCATTTAATCTTCGTCTTCACTGCACACACAGGTACCCGTTATGGGGCAGAGCAGTTTCTTTAAGGCCCAAAGTTCAGCAGCATGGCTGAGAGCTTGGTTTAGACATGGTACAGGAAAGAGTGTCCAGGGTGGTCTTCGAGGGCCAGGAAAGTAATCCAGAGAACAGAGAACACAAAGACTCACTGAACAGTTAGCTCTGATTCACCTGTAACACATCAAAAAAGAAACACAGTTGTCCACTTGAGAGAGCCTGCTGCATGAGTAGATGGACATCACCTGTGGAGAGGGTGCACGGGGCCAGAATGATGGTGTCAGAGAGTGGGTGGATTAAAACCTCAGAATTACCCTGGGTATTTGTGTCATGCTCACACTCAGTGCCAGATGCATGTCTCTTAGTTCTGCCATTAAATTCTTTCTTTTTATTTCAAATTTTTTTTTAACATACTAACCACAGTTGCCCCTCTCTCCCCTCCTTCCACTCCCCGCTCCTCTCCACTCCAGCCCCATCTGCTCCTCAGGATAAGGCCTCCCATGGGGAGTCAACAAAGTCAGTCTGCCAGCACATTCTCTGCACCACCTAAGTGTAGCCTTTCCACTTCTCAAGAATCCTGCGGTGTCTCTTAAGCTCTCTGTTTGCTACTGTCTATACTGTACATGCCTTAACCAGTTTGCCCAGAGCTTAGATATTTCAACTCAATTCACCTTCTCTGGTAAGATGGGATAACCTCCAAAGCACATATGTATTCCAGGTTGTGACTTAACGTGCGAATGTCTCCTAGATTGAGGTAGGTTAACACAGGGCGGGACCAGCAGTGGTTAGCCTGGAAGCCTCCATCAAGCAGCCTTAAGCATTTTTTTTTGGCTTTTTACTAAGCTCATTTTCCTTCCTCGTAAAGGGGCCATTCAGTATTCAACCCCCATGGAAGATGGCAACGAGTGAGTGATAAGAGACACAGGGCTTGACAAGTCTCAGGATAGCAAGAAGGTCTGAGTTCTAATTAGCTGCCCAGCCAATGGGGGGAGGTTCTGGGGACACAGCCTTTACGGCCTGTATAGAATCTCAGGCAATGAGTTCTGTCTTTTTTGTTACCAAAGGGCCCACCAAGAGTTAATTTCTACATGGCTGCAAAGGACTTGCTACAGTATATATATATTTCTCTCACCATCACTCAGGAATACCAGGGTTCTAATGATAGAAATAGGGGGTGGGGGTGGGAATCAAATATGTATTTTTCATTATAGTAAAGTATCATAATGATGTTAACAGACATCCCTTCCTTTTAACCCACAGCAGTGTCAGGACTTGAGGTGAAAGGATTATTTGGCCTGCAGAGGCAGCGGGGCCTTACTGGCTACATCTACACCAGCTCTAGAAAGAAGAAAAGAATTTGGCATGTGTCTCCTTAAATGAGATACCATGGCCAGATTATTACAGGCCCTGCTATTCCTGGTGATCACAGTGGGCCTTGTGTCTAGGAGAGTCCAAGCCTGGGGCTCACCGAAGATTGTGAGGCCATTTGAAGACATCCCCGAAACCTATGTCTATGTGCAGCAAGCACTCTGGTATGCCATGAAAGAGTACAACAAGGCCAGCAAGGACCAGTACAATTTCAAGGTGGTGAACATCCTAAAATCTCAGGAGCAGGTAGGTGCAGTGTCTGCTCCTAATTCCTTTTCCCTTGGCCTTTTTTTTGGGGACAAAGATTAGTGTCAGAGATAGCTACTACATAGGAATGGAAACAGGGCCAAAAGATGTCTCTATGGTTAGTTCTCACTGGAGAATTCTCTTTGTAATTTCCTTGTTTCCTTCTCAGGATCCTTGCTATTTAAAAGTAAAACCCCAGGGGCTAAGAAGGGGGCTTGGTAAAGTGAGGACCTGAATTTGATCTCCAGCATCTATCTAAATGTTGGACATGACAGTGCATGGCTCTTGGGGCAGTGGCAGAGATAAGCAGACCCCTGAATTTTTTTTTTTTTTTGTCATCTAGCTTAGCAAAATCAATGAGCTCCAGGTTCTGTGAAAGTGATCCAAGAGGACATCAACCTGTGGCCTCTTGGTGCATGCAGGCACCCATATGCATGAATATACCTACCCACATGGATACATACATATGCCATATACATGTATACACACAATAACAAAATAATGTCAGCCAGGTGGCGGTGGCACATGCTTTTCATCCCAGCACTTGGAAGGCAGAGGCAGGCAGATTTCTGTGAGTTTTGAGGTCAGCCTGGTCTACAAGAGCTAGTTTCAGGAAAAGCTCCAAAGCTACAGAGAAACCAAAAAAACAAAAAAGGTCAATAAACAAATATAAAACAATTGTGAGAGGGAAATGAGAAAGATGTCAAGATAAGAATTCCCTCAAGAGGGTGACTTGATCGGGGGAGGAGGAGGGAAATGGGAGGCGGTGGCGGGGAGGAGGTAGAAATCTTTAATAAATAAATAAAAAATAAAATAAAAAAACAGATGTCAAAATGCAATTAAAAAAAAAGAATTCCCTCAAATAATCTCAAAACTTCTGCCAGGAGATATGGAGTTAAGGAAGAGCAGGCAAGATAGTCTATTCCTAAGAAGCCAATGGCATATTGGCTTACCAGAGAGAGGGGTTACTTGGTGCTGGTTTCTTCTATGACATTTAACTTGTATGACTCATTGACAGATTACAGACAGTCTGGAGTACTATCTTGAAGTAAACATTGCCCGGACAATGTGCAAGAAAAGTGTTGGAGAAAATGAAAACTGCTTGCTTCAACAAAATCCTAAAATGAAAAAGGTATGTAACTGACATGAGAGAAACGGCCCCTGTCTTACCTCTGTAAAAAAAAAAAAAAAAACAAAAAAAAAAAAAACGCTGCGAGGCCAGGTCTATGCTAGTTTCTTATTTAAACTCTGTGCTGCTTGAGACTGTGGTAGCCAGACTTCAGACCTGAGATGTTTCCATTATCTATCATTGACACCATCCTACTCCATTCTACAAGACATATACATACATATATACATGCCCAAACAACCAGAAAAACACACATATACAAGCACACATAGAGGGGGACAAATACATTACACGTGAAAGTAGGATTATTTCATGCGATTGTGCATTCTGGATAAACTTCTTCTGAACAATCACTCTGCTCCTTTGGTGTATACTGGCAGGAATATTGCAGATGGGCAAGTTGCTCACTATCATAGGTACAATGCCTCACAGAGGATGGCTGATAAAGCTGGAGCTACTCAAGCTTCATTCCTTCTGTTTGAGGCTTCTCTGGTACTCTTGATAATTGTCCAGTTTCTCACTTCCAGGAGTGACTTTGGGCCCCATCTAGGTCAAGATAACCTTCATAGAAATTCCAATAAATTGAAGCTTTTATTCTTTCTGCTTTTTAAATTGTTATGCATGATGCGTACTTTGATGCAATTTCTTGGTCATCTTTGCTTAAGGATATTATTCACGTATCATTCACTTTTGATGCCATAGAGGTATTTCAACTTTACACTTTTATTCTAAGTTAACGTGAATTTTTAGGACAGAGACTAAAAACACAAAGGTGCTCATTGCCCATCATGAGCGGGAGCTGCCCTTCTGAGACCAGGTCACACGTCTCTCTGAGGTTCTCCACATGAAGGATGCTTTGCTTGGTGTCTGGACAGATTTCCTACTTCTCTGAGAAGCACATGGCTCTGTGCTGTTCTAGTTTCATTGATTCCATGAAACAGGATCCACTGGGATCTAGGCACAGCAGAGGGCCTCTGTTGATCACAGGAAAATGGGTTGTAACTGGAGGCAGACTTGAAAGGTCAAACATTTCCTGTGTTCGGAATGCTTCTGTGAGGAAGTCTGACTCCTCTGTCTTAAGGATCAAGATTGACCATACACGCAGTGCAATGGGTATACTCGACTCAGTCTCTTAGTCTTCTTAAGTTAAATCCTGGGACCTAGAAAAAGGGACTTGTGTCATTTCCCCTTTTTTCATACTAACACACACTTTCCTCCCCTCTCTGGGGGTATATAACTCTGTGTGTTTTTATGTATATGCACATGTACATGTGGACCATTCTCTACCTTATTTGGGGGGATAAATTCTCTCATTGAGCTCACTGATTGGTAGACTGGCTGGCGACTGGGATCTGCCCGTCTCTGCTCACCTTGTGCTTGGGTTACACAGGTGTGAAACTATGACTGATTTTTTCACATGGGTGCTTGGGATCTAAATTAAGGTACTTTACTATGCCTTCTTTGTAGCTCCCTAATTAATTTTATTCTTGTCTTTTTTAGATGGTGTTTTGCATCTTTATTGTTAGATCCAAACCATGGAAATTTGAACTTAAAATGCTGAAGAAACAATGCAAAGATATCTAATCAGCATCCAGTATACCTCGCCACTCTCACTTTTAAATAAAGATGCTTGCAAGATAAAGGACCACCACAGCTGACCTGACCCACTGACTTCATTAATTTGTGTGTGTGTGTGTGTGTGTGTGTTTGGATTTGACACTGAGAAAGAGTGATGCTATTTTCTGAGGTTTTGCAGCCTTCTCTAGGTGGTGCCTTTATCTCTGAGGAGAGACAATCTGCTTCTAATAGATGGATGCTATTTCTAACCTAACCAAGTTCCAAACATAAATACTTTCCAATGTCCACAGTTGCTCCATGGGGTCCCTTCTTCACTCATTGAAGTTCACACAAGTGCATGGAATTAGAAGAACACTAGCAAAGTGCCTATCAGTTGCGTCACCATCTTTGAACTCATTCATTTCCCCATTTCAGTTCCACATCATTCCAGAGAAAGTCAGTTCCCACTTAGCTCATGCATGACAGGCTAAGGAATCCTCTAGAGAAGGCTTTTTTTTTTTTCATAATCTTAAGTAAGGGTTTGGGCAGATGGAGAAAGACAGTTGTGGTCTTGTATCAGAGCTCCCTTAACCTCCAAGTTCTGTTTGGTTCTGCTTGTCTCAAGACACAATCTGGCAAAATTCACAAAGAATTCTCCAATGATCTTCTGGTCGAGTGGTGTATTCCCTGCCTATAAACAAATAAGGGGAGGGCGGATTTGTTGGGGTCAACCAGAACACCAGTTACACTTCATA